GCATTATGCAGTCAACAGAAAATCTCTTTTCATTTTTCAAAAGACCAAAAAAAAGGTACACGCTTCCTGGAAAAAGTTAAACTTTTGCTGAAATGGTAAAACAATTATCAGCAACACTATCTGCAAATATGTTCATAATCCAACTATCTTTTATGTCAACTTCAAACTCTCTGGCTCCAGCAGCTTCTCAAATATGGGAACCTGCTGCATTTTCTGACCATTTTAGAGAAAAAACGATTTAATGGAATAAAATACCAGGAGTGCAATTAGCTAATTGCTCAGTTGCAGCATTGAGGCCGATGATGTCGAGATCAATCCATATCGTCACCCGATGCTCTCAATGTCATGTTAACTCTGTCCTCACAAGCATTAGCAGAAACAAACCTGTGAACAGATGAAGTGTGAAACAGCTCTGTTCTTTTACAGACTCCCGGTTTCATCCTGTACAATAAACCACCAGTTCAGATTAAGAAACCCAACCTGCTCATTCTATCGACTCAGAGCATCTTCTCTCTCCTTAACTCACACCGACTAGTTCACAGATAAGAGGAATCCGTTTTCATGTTTGTATCCAACGCCAAATATCCTGTTTCAACAAAAACATCACGTTAAGGAAGCAAAGATATCATTTCATGGAGCCTTTGATATCCAACAGAATAGAAGAAGCCTGCAGTGTATGGATAGAGTTTCTATTATGAATCTTTTGGTTTATTGTGTTAAAGAGCTACTGCTCACTTCCTGTGTCATGAAATTTATATGAAACAATGTCAAAGAGGCGTTTAAATAAATGCTTGTTTAGTCAGAATCTAACGCCGAAGCACGTAACACAATGCAGACTGAGCTACTCGTGAAAGTATTGCAACATCTATATATGTGCAGTATTACAAACTAGATAATATTCTGGGGAAAACAAATGCTGTATTACAGTTTTTCTCCATTGTATACACACACGAAATGTAAATATACGCACAACTCTGAAAAATAGCACGTTAGTATGCGATTTCGGACGCAGCCACAGACTCCAGACTCCTTTGTTTTCACTCAAATAGAAATTCAACGGGTATCTTCTGGATTGCCACTTTAACCGAGCAACTTCCGCCTCTCACCTGGCGGGTCGCTGCTCTCACACAGTAGACCCTCACGTGTCCAAGTTCGTGTATCTCTGTGTGCAAAGACGCCCGAGGCCTCGGTGTGGATTTCTCGCTTACTGAGTTGCATCAAGTCTTTGGAAAAAAAAAAAAAAAACGTGTAATAGCCGAATCCCTGAACCACCTGCAGAATCATGCTTCTGGAGACGCTAGAACAGATTACGGTTACCAAGAAAGTGAAGTCGCAACAGCCGCCAGCTCATCACAGAGTGAAACATTCACTCAATGTTGCAGTAATGGTCACTATACAAGGTCAAACTGGGGTAGACGGTAATAATAGAGACGTGTATCCAACTCTCTTTGTTAAGAAGCTAAAAACATGCAGAGACTCTCGTTTGGTCCTTTAAGGTCAAACAGTGTCCTCTTTAAAAGGACTGTCCTCAGGGTGATCCACACTCTCCCTCCCTCTCTTGGCCCCGTTCTCCTGCTCGTTCATCCTCACCGTCCACAGACGTTTGCCCCAAATGCTGATTCAAACCGACCCGGACCTCCCACGAGAAACAACCACAGGTGGCCTGGCACAGCCGACTGCTAAACTGTGTGCTATTTTAGCTGATTTAGCTTTCATACCTTTAAACCTTTTTTTAATTCAACACCTGTTTTCTATTTACTGAGTGTGTTTCTCTTAAATTGCAACATTTATAATTCATGCACAAGAGACGTTTCGCTCTCCGGCACCGGTTTGACTGGCATGACTACGAGGTAAACACAGACGGAACCGTCCTGTTGCGACAGTATTTCCACATTTGCAAGTTACAGTGTTGTTTGTGAAGCCGTCCGATCACGCTGCTGGCACTAAAGTGGAAATGCCAAAGCAAGCAATGTGAACGAGGAGACAATGTAGCTAAACAGCTCAAGAGACGGCTGCAAAACACCCATCAGCCTACTAGCTAATGGTAGCATGCTAAAGTAACAATGTTAGAAAAACATTGACCTTGAGACAAGGAAAACCGGAGGGCAAATATGCCGAACATTTCCATGTTTTAGGACTCATTCCTGCAGAGCTCTTTAGAGGACCTTGCACATTGTTGTTGCACGAACGTTAGCGTGATGGCGTCAGCATTCAGCTGAGCTGTGCCACGATGAAGGCCGACAATCACACTCGTCCCAATGCTGCATTTCTTGGTAGAAACCTTAAATGTCACAGAGACTTTTAAGCTGATGACATTTCCCTTTCGTTGATCTTCGAGGACTCGGCCATTTTGATTGAAGGATAGAAGCTAAGGGTAGAGAAAGGTTTGGGTTTCTCTCCTCCTCCACGCACACACTTGTACCGACAATATAAAAGGAGATTAACATCCCATCAGTGGTTGTTTATCGGCTGAGGAGGAAGCACACTGCAAACCCCTCACCCAAAGACCACATCCTCACACCACACGGCTTCTCTCAAACTGTGAGCAACAAGTGGACGCGGAGATGCAAGGAAGAAAACAGCTCCCACGCTGCTCTCCCATCATGCCTCTGCACTCACTCACCGTGACGACTCTCTGTGGTATGGAAATGCTCAGAGGAGGAGGACTGGATTCAGCATTTCAAATATGTATAAAGTCCTGCAACAAGGATGAAGAAAGAACTGTTGCAGGAACAGGTGTGGCTGGAGGTGAGAGAGACAAAATAGGGACTTTCTAAAAAATACAACACAACCTTGCCCGGTTCTTTGTTATCAAATTAAACACCTTTAAACTCCTCAGAAGAGTGAAGGAAGTCAGGTTGAGAATAAAAGGCTGTCTGGCAGCATGTGATCGTTATTAGTGCGGCTATAAATACATAAATGAGCACACATTCACCAGCATGTGTGACCACTTACCTAGCGCTTATCTGAGAGCAAAATATAGGTCATCATCCCGTGATGATAATTAGAGCTCTATATTTGTGATCCTGATTTAGAAATCAGCTCGAGACACTCGTAGCCGAGATGGTGACAGGTTGACGATCGCGCATCAAAACACCCTTTTTCACAGTTATGTACAATGTGATGGGCTGATGTTTCCTGTTTTTCTAAATTAAAAAGGTAAACTTTTGCTAGTTTTATAACTTGACATGCAGTTCTACTTCATCTGAGATTAATTTGACAGACTATACTGGCTTAATGTGTGTGAATTGTTCATAATATTTGGAGTCATTTTTCATGCATAAATGATAAACATTGTCCAGTTCCAGTTCTCAAAAGTCAGCATTTGGTGTTTTTCTCTGTTTTACATGATTGTGAACTTAATATTTTATGATTTTGTAACGTTGGTGGGACAACACAAGACAGTTTAAGTCGTCACTTTGGCCAGTGGATCATTTTAACAATGTACAAAACGATTAAATCAAGAATATTATCAATATCGAAAATAAGTGTTAGTTGCAGCTCTACTTTAAAATCACACAATAAAGCAATTAATGCCACTTTTAACCGTCATTTTTGTTCTAATTCTTCCTGATTATATTTCAGTTTGGATGGACATGACACCCTTGCATTGCACCCTAAAAAGGAAGGGGTCGTACGTATAGTATGACAACAGCAATGCAGCAGTTATGATAATGCAGCTAGATGAGGAAGTATGCAGCAGACTACAGTAGAGTTCATCTTCCATAATCAAAAGTGTAACAATAGAACTCGGTAGACATACAGGACTGACTGCTCTGATGGGAGGCAACATTCTGTTTCAAGATCTTAAAAAGCACACATGTTCTCTGTGAGGGCATTTCTGATCTGGAAACTACATCAGCCAGGAGATTCAAAGGCCTCCACATGGCGCGCGCGCACACGCGTACACAGTGGAAATGACAGGGGGGGGGGGGCAGTGGCTTTGTCTCCAGGTTGTAATTATGACTCATATTTCTACGCAAACATTGTTATTCATTCACAGCTAAAAGGGTGATGTAACGAAATGAACATGTTCACAAATCCCTGCCAGCGCTCTTCATCTGATTCAGTCCAAAAACAAATATTGTTATAATACATCTTCCGGTCAGACCTTTCAGAATAAAACAACCAAAAAAAGGTGAGGCAAGAGGGGAAAAGCACCAACAATAAGGTGAATCGATTAAACTGCCAGTTATTTTGTTTGGGCTACAACAGCTAAACAGTTTATTGTCTGTCAATCAACTCATAGATTAATCGACTACTTTTTTCTTTCAAACCGAACTTGTAAGAGAATAGAAACAGTTTTGATATTTTGGTTTGAGCCTTTGAAGGAGGACACTGGTACTTTTGGGTGAAAGTCATGTTTGATGGAGTCTAATAGTGTTGAAAACTTCTCATGCCCAGGATGTTAAAAGAGCCAAAGGCTCAAAGTTTATGCAAAACCTGGCAAAGTCATGAATCCAGCGTTGCTTTCAAGGCACTTTACAAGTACTCTAATTGGGGTGATGGGGACAAATACAGTCAAATTCAAAGGGTCTTCTTGTAAAATAGTTAATGTGTGATAACGTGGTTTTATTTTTAAATGCAATATTTCTCGTGCTTTTCTTTTGAAGGCCACAGCTCCGCACTTCCTGTGTCGGCTGCTGGCTTTAACGCAGCTGCTCCACGCTGACTGCGGCTCGAGCGGTCCCGCTACCCCGCCGCCCTGCTGTCAGAGGCGGCTACAGATCCGCGCTAACTGCCTTCCCTCTCTCTCGTTACACAACTCCCACGTTCAGACTGAAACAAACGAATAATAAAATAGATAAAAAACACTAAACTGACCAACTGACTGGAGCTCGGGAGACGTCAGCCCCGGCGTGTTGATGCTCAGACTACACAGCCGACAGAACCCGGTGAAAGATGCTCCGTGCAAGCGGCGTGCCACGACACATCTCTGCTCCCCAAAATCCGCACTCAAATCCCGATAAACAAAACTAAAGACACACAATCCTTCTTACCGTAGACATGGGTTTGGTGCGCTCCTCTTGCGGCTGTGAGAGACGCTGTGCGGTGCGCGGCAGCTGCGGACTCTCTGCCTCCTCCCACCGGGCCGCCTCTGGGCTCTGGCTGAAGCTGGCTGCTGAAATACTTCCACGGGTCCGCTGGCCGCCTGTCTGTCCTACAGCCTACAGCTCTCACACACAATGTGAGACACCGAGTCGGCAGGGCGCGTCACCCTGCCCGTGGGCCCTCCCCTAGTCCCCGCCGGTACACGCCGTTCTTGTGGGGTGCAGAGCGAGCGTCACGCGAAATTTCATCCAAAAAAATCGAGGAAGTTAACGCGGTTTACTGGAAGTAGAGTCGTTGGAAAGCAATTTAATGGGAAATTTCTCTCTGAATCACCAGAATATTCGCAAATGCCAAACACACATTTAAACGCATTATTTCACTGAAATATGACGTTTGAATGCTTTACAAGACAACACACAGGATGATGATAAGAGAAGATGATGAGTGAGCAAAATTATGAATTAAATCCTAATTCATTAAGCAAAACCTCAGAGGTTATTCTTGTGTCATATCTCTATGGAGTTTCTTGATATACCATATATGTATAATCCTTCTGGTATCTAAGAAAATGATTATAGCCTGTGAATAATCTCCCAAAAAATGTATTGTGACCTGACACACTCCCAATTTGACCTTTTGTTTCCAGAGGAGCATAAATCTGGACATGAACAATCAATACAATCAGATAAAGACCGGGACATGCTCCATGTTCACTCACTGATGTGATCAACTTTACGTGCCTCTAAATTATTCGTAACAGTACACCATTTATCCCCTGACATAAAAAAAAGGTCTATTGATCGCCGTTAAACTGAAAGACCCATTGTTCATTCTGCAGCTAAACCATCATGTGAGGGCAGGCCCTTTCTGTTGACACCCACATAAAACAACACGCACGGCAGATCATCCGCTTCCCTGGTTGCGGAACAGGGAGTTGGTGCAATTACTTCTCAGTCTCACGGCTCTGATTGTGACTCACAGTCACAGTTTCACTTGCACATAGCTGAAGGGCAGAGTTTGCTTTTTCGCTACAGCTGCACAGCAACAATATCAATCTCGATCAGCTGTGAAAGTATGAATACAAGGTGACACACCTCAGGAACAGGTTGCAGGCATGCATGTGTGGCAACGACAACCTCCTCAGCATGTTCTGCAGGTAGTCCTTGTTGGGCAACATGTTATTTGTGGTCCTTTAAATGTTTGTTTTCCCCAGAGGCCTTTTGCAACCACCATAACAGGATCCAGGCTGAATGTTTAACCCAAACGTCATGGCTGACACACTGTATGCATTATATCATTTAACAGTGAGGGCTGTGATACATTCAAACTGGGTTTCAGCGTTGCTGAGCATGAAATGGACTTTCTAAAACCGGTGCTGCTCCCAAATGAGTTGATTATTTTTCCTCTGTAAATCTTGCTAACTAAGGACGAGGGAACAGACCTCTCGTGTTCAGCTCATCTGGCCTCACACACAGTGAGATACAGAGGAATCAGAGGTGAGGCAATTCGAGACCTAGATGCTAAAACCCTTCGTCAGGTGCCGTCTAAGATATTTTTGTGCGATACAAAAAAAAAGTCTTCTTGAAGGATGAACTCATTGCACTTCGTGTTATCTCTGCAGTGCAGTATGTTCTGTTATTCACATTAGTCTGCACATTGCTGTCAGATGCAACTGGGATTTGAGCCATACGGGTAAATTGTCATTTGTGCCGCTTAGATGGACGGTTTCACCTCATAAAGCTGTCGTATAACCCCCTGGCCCTCATGCGTGTGCGTCTGATTTGAGCACAACAACCTTTAAACTGGGAGTTACTTCCTTTGATAAACGAGCCAGAGGTTGTTCTTCAACTCTTAACGGGCTTCGTGTCTGCACTGAGCTCGATGGAGACGTCGAGTGCAGCTCTGGATTGATTCTCCCCTGTGGAGGATACAGGCAGCAACCAGCTGGCAGCAGGCCGCCCCGACCAGCGCTGCCTCCCGCGGTGCTTCATCTCTCACCCCGGTGCTTCTTTTTCCTGTCTGTCTGATGCACAAGGTCCCTGTATAAATACAGCATGTCGACAACCTCTTAATGCTGTAAGGCAAATTGCAATCAGTATTTCACATGCTTTTCATGTGTATTGCAACAGGATGTATGTGTGAAAACCACAACGTCGACTGGAGGAAGCGTACACACTAGTGTGTTTTCAGTTTCCCGAAGCTGCCGTGCAGGTCATGTAAATGTCGACCTGAGACACAAGAGCTGGAGATATATCATTAAAGCCATCGGGCCATCATTTACTGTGTATGCAGTATTGAAACGTCACACTGGATGATAAAAGAGGAAATGTCTGACTAATAACTTTATGTAAGTTCAACAATGATGAAACCAAACGGCAAGGAAATACATGCCTGATCTTTGCTGCTCTCTAGTGGAGATTTGGAGAATGTGCACACAAAGTATGAAACATTGGATTTTCTATTCAACGTGCACCAGGTTGACAATTAGTAGTTATATTTTGTGCGTTTAAATGTGTTTTTACGTATGTATATACAAACCAAATACCTCCTTGAGAAAATCAAGTCATTCAGGCTATTTCCTTTAAAAAAAAAAAAAAAAAAAAGAAAAAGTATTATCCTCTATAATTCACCTGGTTTACCAGATGCCCCCATGTGGCCAAATAGTGACACTACAAAGGTACAAACAGAAGAAAGCAGCTCACAATGAGTTTTAAAAATAACTTCCTGACAATCTTTGTGTATTTCCTTAGAAAAACACAAAACACTGCTCACAACGTATTTTTCCCCTTGACTAGCAAAACTATATTCGCTGATGAAGGCCATGAGAATCACCTGAAAGTGATCCAGTAAGTAGACCTTAAATTAAAGGGGCACTCCACAGATTTTACACATGAAGGTCAGTTCCCCCTCAGTGAGTCTACTACTTTCAGTCTAGTTTAGAACACATTACAGTGTGTGATAAGCAGTATATATATGTATAAATTGCTAATAAGTGCTGAACAGGGGAGATACAGTAAAGCCTTACCCATCTATGTGACCTGCATGCTTCAACTCAAACAGACACCCTTAATAATGAATCACACAGCAGCACGTCCTAAATAAATCTTTCACGTCGTGTCAAGAGTTTCTTTTATTTTGACAGCGTTTCAGAATATCATACAGGTAAACAAGATTTTTGCAAAAGTTAATATATCCATAGTGTTGCATTTCATAAAAATAGTTGCTCCACTTACAGTCTTTGTGACCATCGATAGTACACGGAGTCATATTTATAGAGATATTTCTTCAGGGTCTATACACTGCTATAACACTACACAGTGATACTGAGCCGCTTGGGTGGGACTTTATAGTGCCGTTAGTTCAACACACTTTGTTTTTTTACACCGCTAGATGTTTTTTTTTTTTTGTTGCTTTCCGTAGCAAACTACTTACAATGTGTTTGAATGGAGACAGCTCAGATGTGGGAAGCAGTGAGTTGTGCAAAGGTTGAGCAAACATACGCACGTTTTCTTTTTTTTCTGCTTCAAACATAAAATGAAGAAGAAGTCCAGTCAGATGATGCACGATGACACAGTATGCAGGCAGCATTCAGTCTGACGGATGGAACAACGTACTTCTGGGCCTCGTTTAGTGACGCTGCCCCTGCACACCCTCTAAAAGTGACTGAAGGTCTGAGCTGTTTGTGCCTGGCTGATGATTTTTCTCCGCCTTAATAATTCCCAAACCGTCTGAGAGAGATTGTGCTTTAAAGTCAGCCCGCTTATTCATTGTGTAATTACGGATCACAATGGCAAACATAATGACCGGTCTCCCTTTGCTCTTTCATTCCTTAAACACTGTTTGCACTTCTCTCAGCAGTGGAGGAGGAGGAACCCTTTGTTCTGGTGTTATGGCTCTTTCCTCTCTCCTGTTGATGTCGTCTCATTCAGAGGGGAAAGATTGGCAGGCAATTTTCAGATCTGCAGAGAGGATACGGACGCTGTGAAAAGATTTGTTGATCTCAAAATTGACAGTTTGTTTTAAACCCCCCCCCGCCCCGAACATCAAGTGTTCAATCACAGCTTAGCAACTGTAACTAGGCACTGCAGAGCTTTTTGGGATGTAAGCCGTGTGCATGCGGCTGAAGTCTCAGCAAATTAAGAGTTTAAATCGGTTTTATATTTCCAAAACTGAAATCCCAGGAGCTGAAGAGAACTAGTGAGCAGGACATGCTAACACCTGCAGCATGTCCCGCTCACTAGTTCACTCGCTGGTTCATTGTCCTGCAAATCTGTTGATTTGATTAATTAAGTTCACCAGCCAGCATCACCTGAGAGCATTAGCTTTACCAACTTCTTCACTTAGTCCTCATCCTAAAAGACCTTTCTCCTGGGACACTCCGGAGGCTAAACAACCACACGGTGTTATTTAGACTCAAATAACTGATCTTACATTGTTTATTATCATATCTAATGAGTTATTCTTTGCAATAAGTAGATCAATTGGTGAGGATGCTAACCTTTTGCCTGGGATATGTCGCTTGACCCTCTTTTACCACAACTCCATGAATGTAGCATCAAGTGGATATTTAAGACTGACTTTTTTTTAAAATGAGTCAGCTAGAAATGTCAGAGAGTCGTCCGGAGACAACTCTTATTATCTAGAAAGCTACATCTGATGTGATCAGTGTGAGTCGTCCTTTCAGCCGACACCAGCTGGAGATCAGAAGCTGCTTTTGTTTACTTCAGTCTGAAATCAAGGACTCTTTGTTTCAAATCTCACTGAGACTTTCTGAGTAGGAAATCTTCCTCCCTTGTGCCAGAATGGAAAGCCTGACAAGCAGCAGTATCTCAGGGGGAGGGGCAGGGCTTAGCGAAATGTCAATGGACAGGTTGTATAAAAATGTAAAACTTCACATTTAAGCCAAAGCGCCCTGTATCTCATCCACAGGGAGCTAAGAATCACTTAAAACAAATCAGACCTGTTCTCTGGAAATAACAGAAACGTTTCATTTTCAAATGGACTGCGTTGGTTCATCAGGTCAAAGGTTGTTAGACGAGCAAGCTTCTGACGAAGTGAGATCGATATCAGATTTGAGTTTGTTTTGGACTTTGGGTGCATCTCTTATGAGAGACTCTTCATGGAAATGACTAAAGTCAGACCTCATTAAGAAACCAGCAATGACAACGACACTGAAATGAAGCACTTGCACATATAGACCATCGATAGCTCTGTCAATGGACTTATTTCCACACGTAAGCTTGTGAAATAAATCCTGTATTTCACCGTATCACACTCGAATCTGAAAAAATACAGTTTATTATTTATATCTGTGAAGTGGATGTGGTATAGCAGCCTGTTTTGACCCTCTTAAGTGGTTTGGAGTTGAACCTTTTGACTTAAAAGCCAACCTCTCTGTCAGTCTAAGGCACTCTGCCCCTCGGTCGGTATCACGCGAGCGCCTTCTCTCGGCGTCCGGCCGGACGCCACCCCCGCCGCGGATCGCCTTTTGTTCGTTAAGCACAGGAATGAGGAAAATGGATTGGCATGACACCCCCGCTGAACTCGGGATGATTCAAGCGCAGAAAGATCGTGAAGTCAACAGCAGCAGCAGCAGCAGCAGGCCTGCTGAGACCCCACACTGTAATCACAGGGCTGAACGGGAGAGTAGAAAAGGGAGACGTCGGCGTGGTGGAAGTTCTGGTCCGCGCGGCACCGTTTGGCTCGTCTCAGCATCGGACTAGATTTTCCATCCAGGTCGCTTAAAAGATGATCTTATTTACAAAAATGATCCCACATATTCATTATAATATATCTATGTCTGTAATCATCTGATGGATTATTCAAGATGGATTCAGGCCCATTCAGTCTCTGTTAAGGCAAAGTTCTGTTGAGTTCATCTCTGCTGTCACTCTTTGATCCATTCGCTCTCGTCAAAAAACAGGCAAACCTTCTTTTCAACATTCCATTTCATAAAACAAGACTCCGTCGTGAAGAGAGACAGAGATCCAGTCGACAGCTGCTTCCTGTCAGGTGTTTTGTGTTTGCATGTTTTGTCCCCCAGTTCTGCTCGGGGGGGAAATCAAAATATAGTTCTTTTAAGGTTTGCGTCCCTTGAACACACATTCTACTTGCTCTTCCATTACTTTTTTTTAAAAAGTGGATGATTCTCCAGTTCTTAAGGTGGTGGGTGTAAAATATTTCTCAAAATAATTTAGAGTACAGTATCATAAATAAAACTCTAAAAACACGTGGTCCAGATCACCCTGTCCCCCCTTTGGTCCTGACTCTGTGGGAGAACGGGATGGAGGGGGTCGGGGGGTGGGGGGGAATGAAGGAGCACAGGAAGGTGTGGTGGTTTCGTCCAGATGTGGCCGCTGCATTCTGCTGGAGCCGCGGTGTTATCTGCTCAGCGTGGACGTGCCCGTGCGCAGTGTGCTGGGCAGCTTGTCTGATCCGGGGATCTTCCAAGGCCCGGGAGAGACCGTGGCCTTCCTCCCCGCCGCGCTGCCGGCCGTGCTCTTGCTGGGCAGGCTGGGCCGGCTCTCTCCCAGGCCCCTGTCCGGCTGCCTGGGCCTGGTCCTGCTCTGCTCCGAGTCCACCTGCTGCTGCTGCCCGCCGCCGTACCGTTCCACGTCTATGACGCTGTTCCCGTTGGTGTGCGGGAGCTTGGAGCTGCTGGTAGATTCGGTGGATTCTCTGTCGTCCCCGGTACTTCTCTCCTTGGACCTCCCTCTGGTGGTCCTGGAAGGTTTGGGCTCCCCGCTCTGCCCCTCCTTGCCCACTTCCCCCTCAGTAGTGGGCTGGACTCTGTGTCCCACGTGGGTGGACCTGCCACCCTCCTTCTTGGCTCTGCCACTCCCGCCGGTTGAAGCCGCTCTCCTCCCCTGGCCGATCGGATCTGGACTCAGCAGCTCGGCCTTCTGGGGGCTCTTTGAACGCTCCGTCCTGCTGTCTCGTGCCACCTGGTCTCGCGGGACGTCCAGAGGCGGCAGGTGAGGCGGGTCGGGGGCCAGATGAGATGAAGGCGATGGCATGGAAAGGCTGTCGATGGGAGGGGCTACTTCCGACAGGCTTGGGGAGGCTGAAGGGCGAGCATCCCATGGGACGGCATTATCTGGAGCACACACACACACACACACACACACACACACACACACACACACACACAGTCAACACACATGCCTTCTGCTTAAAAGCTTGCGCGCATGCCACTGCACAACCAAACACTACATCAAAACAAACACAATAAACGCAGCAATCATTCCTATTCTACGAGCTAAAAGCACTAAAGTAAATTTCAGAGCAGCACTACAACCTACTTCCGAACGTGTCACAGGGTGACACTACTTTTAGACAACATCAATCTGCCTCCCATAGCTCTCTTTAAAGCCCCGGACAATCTAGAACCGTGGCGGAAAATCGAAAACCGGTTTAATGAAATGGATGATGTGCCCAATAGGGTGCTGCTATAGCGAGAATGAGAAACCTCGGGGCCAGAGCGTCTCTCTCTCTCTCTCCCTCTCCCTCTCCTTCTCTCTCTCTCTCTCTCTCTCTCTAGCCTGAAGAAGTCTGTTTCCAGCGCAGCAGCTGCAGTGAATCTACAGCGCGCTCCTCCACAACTCTCCACTCTCACGGACTGTTAGCTTCTGTTTCTGCACCGATGGTTCTCGGTCCCTCGGCCATCAGTCATTTTCAGCGGGCTCGGCGTGGGTTCAGAGGCGAGGCCAGCTACACCGGCGCCACGAGACCCAATTATGAGCAGATTCCCATGCAGCGCTGGAGCACATTAGATCCTGGACTAAGAGGGAGCGAGAGAGAGAGAGAGAGAGTACCTGCATCTCCTACAGTATGCCTGCTACAGTGGAGTCCACAGAGGGCTCTACATGTGTGTCTGTGTATCGCTATGTGTGTGTGAAACCTGTGTTTATCCCATGCTGTGTTAAAGCTCTGGTCTGCTTACGTTTCTGCCGAGTCACCATAACACAAACTACAATATGTAGATGTGTTCTTTGTTAGAGAGGCATAAAAGGTGCGGGCTTGTTCTCATCATTATTTTAAACCTGCACTAAGCCACTTGAGTGCAAACACTGTGAACCCAACATAGACAAATCTTCACCTTACAAGTTTAAATGGGGGAATTAAAAAGTGAAACAGTTGTCTAATTACATTCCAGCAGACACAGAGCAGCATTAGCATTCATTCGGAGTCACGTTTGTGTCCGTCTGATGAATGTGAATCCAATATTCGCTCTCCTTGCTCACTCCAATATTCCAATATCCAATATTTACTAAATCCTGAGGGAAATATGTGTCTCTTTGCTAAATGCTCCGCTGTGTTCATTAGATAATCGGCAACTTTGTCTGTGTGCTGTTTGGTGCTGGACGGGGGGTGTATAGTGGACTTTCAGGGAACAGCTGCCTGCTGTGACAGAAACAACTTTATTGAGATAGATAGGGTGAAACAAAACAACCCCAATTATGAGCTACATAGAATGTGATTATGGCCACTTTAAAATACTTATATAAAGTTGTCTTTTTGTTTCCATTCCGAAAAACAATTGTGTCCTTAAGTCAATTTACTATTCATAGAAAGAGCTGAACTATCCCGCCAGTGAAAAGAGTTCTGAAGGACTTCTGTGGCTGTGAGAGAAGATGGAGAATGTTAATATGTAATCTGGGTTTGGGCTTGAGAAAGTTTTTAATGGGAAGTGTGCCTTAGAAAGTGTCGGCAGTGAGTGGGCGTTTACCTGGAACAGAAGGTCTGACAAGAGATGAAAGTAACGGAAGGTAATGAATGAACTTAAAGCCCTGGAAATAAAACAGACTTTTATAGAAAACCCCATCACAGAGAACATGTGAGGGTTTCTATTTCTAAATCCTAGAGCCTGACTGGCTTTTCCTCTGATCACACATGTCATTTATTATGGGATGTCATCCTTTAGTTTGCTGGAGTGTCACTTTGATATAAGTAGCAAAAAACTTCTTTGTTTTTTTTGTGGTGCAACTCTCAGGCCCTTTGATAAATATGCGCTGCAGATCTAACACACAATAGAGGCACAAAAACACACACACAGCGCTTCACACACACACACACACACAAGGCACACGATAATATTCATGCACATGCCAGACACCACGTTTTTATGCCAAACATATTCTCCAATTTTTCTACTTGGTTTTGCATTCAGCTGTTCTAAAAAACAACCTGAGACAAAAATAACTTGCTGTTTTAAATAGCTAGATTAATCACCAGAGATGATTTGCATAACCTTCCAGTATGCATATGAAATAAGAGCTGAGGAAATGCTGAATCGAGCGCCGACAGAACAGACCGAGTGGGTTCAAATGTTGCCTCTGCTTTTAGGCAGCAGGGGGGGGGGGGGACTCAACAGCTCTCTAATGATGGAGGACTGTGTCTTCTGGCTGACCACAGTAAGACTCCCTGTGCGCATATTTCAAGGCTAGAACCACCTCAAGGCAAGTGTTTTCAAAAGCTCTCCACACGGAGAGGTTAAATCCCCCGGCCCGGAAGAACAGGGCCAACACGGGGAAACACCATCATACTCTATTTCCTGTGTTTAAGTGCTGGAAGGTGACTGCCGAGGCCAAGCGCTGATGAATGTGTATCACTGGGGGCTTTGGTGTCGCGGCGTTCCCCTGAAACGTCTTTCCCTCTACTGGGAGGACGCGGAAAAGTGAGCGACGCTCCGGAGCTTTATTACCCCGCGGTGTGACCAGAACAAATTCCACCTTCCACGCCCAGTTTGTGCCGCGTTGAGGTTTCACCGGATAAATAATCTGCTGAAATATTTCACGTTCATCTCCTCTGGCTGGCTGTTTTTTTTTTGGGGGGCCTGTAGGTAGCTGTTGATTTATCTGCTGGTCAGGAGGAGAGTTATGTTCACTAACTTTACAACCTCCTGGAGCTCTAAGCCATTTCTGTTGATTATTTCTGAAGGAAAAAATGTCAAATCTTCAACCGCACAGGGTGTCCAAGGTTATAAAGTAAGTTGTTTTGATCTGACAGCGCTAAGTGCATCCTCAATAGGCGGTTACAGCAAAACAACACACAAAACCACAGCACAGAAAGCCAGGGTTACGTGAAGAGAAAAGCATTCGTATGATCACAAACCGTGTCTTTAGAGGGGCCCATTAGGAAGAAATAGGGGGAGCCATGCTTGTCACTTTTCATGCACATGGAGAGACTGGAAGATACCATTCCTATAGAAGGGGAAGTAACAACCTAGACCAATCAATTAGTGATGGGTCACTGAAATGGACAGAAGATAAACTGATGTTAGTCAAGATAGAAGAGACATATGATTAGTTGTTTTAACAGCATAGTGAAATACAGAACACAGAGTCGATAAAGACAGAAGATCTAACATGATGCATGCTGGAATAATGTTATCAAGAGGTAAAGTGATATTAAGACAGAGAACAAAGTACAGTCTATGAGTTAAAAGAGAGGTAAGACATGATCCTGAAGACAAAGAAAGCTGATGTGGACCTCTGCGTGGATACTTACCGTACTCTGGGACCTGCCCTGTGCCCCTCTTCAGGAGAAGACGCACGCGCCTGCCTCCAGACTTGATCAGCTCGATGGCCCGGGCGTGGGTCATGTTCTGGGTGCTCTCTCCATTGATCTCAATGATTTGGTCCCCGACCTGGACGTCAGGAAGTGTGTGACAGAGGACGAAAGAAGTTGTAAACATCTGTCGGAGAGGAAATGTGCACTGACGCACATGTTTTTTTGGTTCAGATTTTTACCTTAATAAAAACTACACGATATGGAAACCAGTGTCCACACAAGCAGAGGAACTCTAACGCTACATCATACAGGCCAGGTCCATGAAGACGAAGTTGGGTGTTTGAAGGACGAAAGTAGTCTTTTAGCTGCCAAACACTTAAAGGAACTTTGTTGAGTCATTGATAAACACATTGGTAAACAGTGAGCACTGGATCACGACCTGAGCTGCATTTAAAGATGTTAGAGCATCGTTAAAGCTCTTTGACCAGTTACTGTGATGCACGGGGACAGAAAGGGCCAACGCGCTCTGCACCCTGTTACATCTGTATTGCAATGTGAATAATGGAGCTTGTTAAGAACCTTCAAATATAGACGGACATGTTTGTGTATGAACAGCATATAAGGAACCTTGGAAGGTGTTAACTGTAGAAACAATTACATGAAACACTAAAATCTAATTATAAAAGTTGCTACAATGTAGCAGAAACCTGCAGCTCGAGTTCACAAAGGTGAAAAAATAAGACGAGCAGGTTAATGAAGGTGTTTGCATTCATGCTAAGATTGAGTCAGTTATGATGTGGCAGGTGTGCAAATGATCCCACCGTCACTAAATATAAAATGGAATATTAATCAGCTTCTTTTATAATGGACGACAGTGAATAATAAGGATGGATCTATAATTCACCGGCTTTTCCACGGGCCTCTGTAAGCGTTAATAAGCGTTAATAAGCATTCATTTTGGCAGTAATGTCGACATAAAATCTGAATGGAATTAAGGCGGACCCTTCTCACGGGGCGGCTGTGGAACATGTTAGCCCACTGTGATGAATACTAATAACCTGGCCATAACTGCAGCAGCTCCGTTAACAGCTAATGTAAATATTAACTGGGCCACTTCTCCCTTCTGTGACCACACGGATGGGTCAAACATCAGTCCTCCTCCCCTATTAGTCAACCTCGGAGCCGTCTCTTGATGGGCTGAGAAGTGAGAGGGGGAGTCATTAGGTGTCACTGCAGTGGTCTGAAGAGAGGTGGAAGGCAGGACGGTTCAGTCATTATTCCTCGGCTCCTTACAGCAGCGGAGTGATCTCCATTTTCATCTTTAATAAAGGGGGAGCTGGAGTCGAATGGACGGCACGTGAATGCTGAGCACGGGGAGCGTGAGGAGGAAATGAATCAGCCGACGCTCGCGCACGACTCCGTCTTTTATTGAAGGTTTAAAGCTCAAAGAGGTAATTAAATGTGCTGAATGATTATTCGTAATAACACATCACTTTGTGCAATTTTCTTAAAAGCCTCTGCACTGCCACTTGGACCAAAAAACCCCCCCAAAAAACGCTTGTTAAAATGTGTTAGTGCTCCTTACTGATTAGTTTGTGACTAGCAGGATCAAAGTAGATAATCTTTTCCTTCTTAAAGATGTGACAAAGTGGCTGTTGAGAAGAAATGACTTGGATTAAGCTCAGAGTGTCGGAGAGACTGCAGGGAGTCACGGTGCAAGAGAGCTTTTGGTTTCTGCACCTTACCGCGTCAAAGCAGCACTCAAATCCACGGTGACAGGCATGTCGAATGCCTTTTACCCCAATACCTCACATTTACTTAGAGTTAAATGCAGATTGATTCCTCTCTGCATTCGGCTGTATGGATCAAGGATTGTTGATCAAAGTGGTCTCTGCACCGTGTTCTCTGAAGTCGACTCAACAGCACAGCGTCGAGTTTATTTCAATATCCCACCAGCAGAGCGACTGTCTGGCAATTCATCCGAGACAAATCACACTCAGTGGAGGAAAGTAACTCTGTGTTGCTTGAGTGTTTTATGCTACTTTATACTTCATAAATTACATACTTTTACTTTACACTATTTTACTGGTACTTTTACTGAAGGAAAGGATCCGAATATTCCTTCACTGCAGCTTATATGCTGAATTTAAGTGGAGCTCAAGAGGGATTAATCTTCCTCTTCCACCTGCATCAAGGCTCACTGGACTCCCATCGACTGCACCAACGAGGCAGGAACGTAATATCTCCCCCGGGGGCATTTTGCACACATTATCTTTAACGGGTTCATTGCATATAAAGAACGTAACGCAGACTGATGCCATCAGCCCCACACATAAAGAGGACATGCAAGAAAAGAGAGAGAGAGAGAGAGAGAGAGAGATAGAAAGCAAGAGGTCCAGAAAGACGTGCTGGTGGATTCATTCTGCATTGACAGACAGAGAAAAGTATTGAAGTTGCACTTAATGTTGCTAGCAGCAAAACACATGGAGCTAACGAGGAGACAGCGTCAAGGGCTTTATTACATCTTTATGAATTCAGAAAATATGCGTCTGCTTTCTCTGGCCGAATAGTACAGTAGCAACTATAGCTAGAGGGAGAATTGTGCAGCTATCCAAACAGCAAAGTATAATTTAAGTTGGCCCACTTAAATGTTTTATCTATCTTTATCTTTCTAAATATTATCCGTTACTAAATGCAAAGGAGAGATGTGTGTTTTTTAGGAACTTGGGAGGAGAAAATCTCAAAAAGGACGAGCCATCTCTGCCTTATTTTGACAGTTTATTTCGTAATCGGCTCTGAAGAAGTTGCTGCTGCAGCTTTGATAACATCAGACAATTACAGTGAGCTTCTGCCATGTAATCCAAGAAGATAGAAAGCAGCTTAATCTTTAAACGGGGTGTAGTGGCTTCCTAACAGGAAATGACATCATCAAACATACCCTCATCCTCCCGTTACGGATGGCCGGTCCGTCCTCGGCCAGTCGTAGGACGAACAGGTCCATCTTGTACTCCCGTCCTCCGCGGATGCTAAAACCAAAACCTTTCACACTTTTCTCCAGCTCTACCGTGAAGAAGTCAAAGTCCTGTGAGAGCTGGGACGAGCAGAGATCAGATGCCCTTAGAGTCGACGTTATCTGAGGAGAAAATGGGCCATTATAGCGGAAAATAGTCCCAGGACCCAGCAAAGGAAAATAAGTGAATAAGAAGGGAGCGAGTGCAAGGTAAACAAAACACTATATTACACACATATATAAGAGGTAAAGAGGTTTGTGTCAGCTGTGCACTTTGTCTAACACAAACAAGCTAACTAACAGTGAGTCAGCCTTTCTCAGGACACTTTCACAGACACACAGTTTAGTATTTCACTCTTAAGTTCCCATTTTTTATTTCTAGTTGGCTGGGAAGTAATATAATATAAAGAATGGAATATATTGAGGCAGACAGTGTCAACTTTAAGCAGAAATATATGAAGTGATGTGGCCCAATAATAAAATATACAGAATATACAGAAAAAGTAGTTGAACAGCAAACAGTTGCCTATTTACACATCTAGCAGGCACAGAGCAACTTTAACAGTCATGGCCACCTAATAAATTGTAGTCCAAAGTTCACTCTCCTTTTATCTCTGCTTTGGTCTCCATAGACTCCTCGGGGGAATATCTGCCTTCTAAGTTAATGTAAAAATATTCAATGCAGCTTTAAAGAGTCACATATTCTGCTGTGGGAAACATCCCGACTTGAGTTAAGTTAATAAAAAATAAAAAAATGTTTTGCCTGCGAGGAAAATGTTAAAGATTTGGATTATTGCTGAGTCAGGTCAGTGTGAGCCAACAGCACATCTTTTCTGTTATTGTTGTAAATATTGTTATTGCCTTTTGGTTTGAGGTTCAGAAGATGTGCTTTCAACCAGATTTCTTTCCGGTGATATTGGGTGATGTTACGTAGATACTGTTAGACAGTCAGGGTAAATATTTATTTGTAAAGTTTCTAGTGTGTACTCCTTGAATATCAATCAATTTAGAATGTTGATTAAACGTCATTAAACTTTATATTGGAGGGATTTCTCGCAAATAGAAATGATATAAAAGAACATTTGGAAAGGTAACAAATGTTTATTGAAGCTGAAGCTGGTAAGAAGAATTGTTCTTTGTAATAAACCTGAAAGTCAGAGAATGGTTTTCACGACAATAATGAAACTAATTTGTACATATGAAGAAGGAATAACCTTTTGTTTTCTCTCTCTTTTAAGAAGAAATTCATTTGTTTCTTTTCTTTTCTTTGTGTTCATCAGGATGCATCAGTTTGATTTTATTTTGTTAATAAAAATCCCATCCTTACTTGGACTGGTGGCATTCGGTAGTCTGGCAGGAACTGCCTGGTGTCGGTAGCTAGCTGTCTGTAGTCCAGCAGTGGCGGGTGTCTGTAGTCCAACGTGGGGGGCTGCCTGTAGTCCGCTACAGGAGGGTGCCGGTAATCCACCGGCGGCTGTCGGTAATCTGTGAACGGCGGCTGTCTGATGTCTGGTTTAACATCTTGCCTCGCCTTCACCTCTGACCTGTAACTAGCAGACCAATCAGAATGAAGGAAGAAATCCCAGCAGGCCTTCTATTACCGTCATCGCTATCTTGGGATACGCTGCAGTACTTGTTAGGTTTCCGGGGCTGTGAAAATAATGCTTTCTGACAAACTGCTGGGTCACCCAGTGCAGATCGAGACGGCTTGTTTTGGTTTGCACTGACAACCATTAAACAAGACTTAAGTGGGGAAATTAAACTGCTTTTCTCCACACATCGCATTAAATGTTTATAATAAAAACACGTTATCTCAGGGGTGGCGGTGCTGAGTACTGCCTAAAGCAGAGGGGAAATGCAATGACATTGTAGATTTTGGAACCCTGTAGTTCTTGGTAAAATATTCAACGGATCTCTATGAAGACGCAATTTATGTAAATAATTTAGCGGTCCATAAGAGTTAAGTGATGTTATACAACAAGCTGAGGAGAAAGAGAGAGGGTGAGGGATGAATAAGGAGAGGAGACGATGTTACTGAGAGAAAGAGGGGAAAGAAACGATGACAATAGATAAAAAAACATGAAGGAAAGGTAGAGAGAATGGGGACAAGGGGATAACGTTATGTGCTTCACTCATACCTGTACTCTCAGAGGAATAGAGTTTGCCCCAGAGACAGATAGAGGGGTTTGTCTATAAAAACTCTTCACTGCAGCAGTGAATCAAGACAGCAAATATGACGCTGTAACTGTAGCGCGAGGATGAAACCGCTTTCAATTGAACTTTGAGAAGAGGTGGTGTTGCTCTGTAACCTGGAATCCTTATCAACGATGTGTTACCTGCTCTCGTGGGGGTAGGTCTGAGGCGGAGGGGCGGGCAGCTGGGTCACGGGGCTCTGGTGAGGCATCGGGTTGGGCTGGCCGACAGAAGGGTTGGGTTCTGTGACCGCTGGGTTGGGGTGCGAGGCAGCGGCGCCTGGCTGGGTCTTGGGGCTGTGCTGCTGGGCCATGGGGCTCTGCTTCTCTGAGCTGGGGGCTGATGGGGGATTACTGATCTCTGGGGTTCAAAAAGAAGGAGTACGGGACAAATCGAATCACAACGTGTACTTTCAAGCTTTAGTCTTGAAGTCTATGAGAAAATGAAACTCAATATAAAGATCCATAAAGCTGCTGCAGATTGGGTGATTATTCTCTGTGCGTTCATAAGAGTGTAAATCGCACTACTCGCACGTACAATACCAACAAAACAGAAGCCCACTCCACGACTACTAATAGTCAAAAACTCCACATGGATATCTTTAATGTAGCTCTAAATAACGAGGTAATAAACGTCCATAAGGGAGAAAGCCTACAACAGACGAGCAGATAAAGAGAAGGAGGCAAAGCAGCCATTATTATCAATAACCACGGTGCACACTCTGTCCATCTTTTCATGTAAACTGAAAGTCAGTCTTACTTACTTCTGTTCTGTTCAAAGTGGTCAAAACAGACATGAGCATGATTTCAGCATTAGTACAAGAAGAATCGCTCAGAAACTGTTAAAGTAACAAAGTCATTGTGTATTCTGTATTAACGTAACCACAGTAAGAAACAGCAGCTCCTGGTAAAGCAAGAGGAACACCACTCATGAATGTGACGTGTGACAGTTTATCTAAAAATAGAATCACATTTTTGCAAAACTCAGATTACAACTTTGATTTAATGGAGCAAAGTCAATTGCTATCATAAATCATTGCCAAAGTATCGCAGTTTCAAAGACCTCGTCTATCATGTCCACGTGTCGTGTGTGTGTGTGTGTGTGTGTGTGTGTGTGTGACCACATGTTCGCTCACCTTCCTGCGGTATGATCCTCAGGGTGACGCTGAGGCCCGCATCCTTGATCAGCTTAACGATGTCGGCGTGCGGCATGTTGACGATGGACTGGCTGTTCACTGCCAGGATCCTGTCCCCCACCTTCAGCTTCCCGCAGCGGTCGGCCGGGCTGCCCTCGATGATGCGGCCAATTTTATGGGGCACAGCTGTTGGAGGATTCAAACACAACACGCTGCAGGTAAAGACGCGCTCAGCAGCAGATTGGAGGATTACGCCTTTCTGTGCTCACACACACCACTCACTGACTGACTGAATATGTCTCTGTCTCTCTCATTCTGCTATTCACCCCAGGCTTACGTAAGGCATCCAGTTTTAGTTTTTTTCATGTGTGTGGGCGATGCGCCGATGCTCTCGGCAGCATAGCAGAGATGTGTGTGACTGGCGTACCGTGGGAGGGCATGTATAATTGAGGAGATGGAATGAGAGAGGTGCTTCACTTTTTATGGAGCCGTGACCTCTTATACTTAAGTTTGGCCCATACCTTGACCCTATGGACTCTAACGAATATGGTTCTACCCAGAACCATTTGCTTCTGAAGAACCCCTTTTTTAAAGGGTTCTTTTATAAGACAATAAGTTCCATTTCCGGAAGAAATTGTTTTGCAAGGATTGTTGAAAGCATGGGTGTAAAAGATCCAGAAACTGTGGTTATGAACCGTGATTGTTGTGGGTTGCGCTGCACCACATCATCCTTTACGAGTCTCGAGAGGAACCCTGGGCGGGTTCTAGATGCAACCCTTGAAATATTGAAGGGTTTTCGGTAGAACACTCTGGGCGGGTTCTTGATAGAATACGACAGAGAGAGTTCTGGGTGGAACTGGAATCTGCATGCGGCCCACCATTGGCACACGGTAGTTCAACCAATGGCACACTAGCAATCCAAGTCACCTCTTTCACAGCCATTATTTACAATAAATTACTTTTTACATTACAGCAAAGAACCTTTATAAAATGTTTCACCAGGAACCAGATTCTCCTTTAGGGAGAAGCAGAAGAGTCCTGTATGGTTCTAGTTAGCACCTTTATTTCTAAGAGCGTATCGTGACTTTGTAGTTTGTATGAGTCTGAGAGCTTTCATACGAGGTTTAGCGCTTGAAGCACTTGTTATGCAGAGTAGAGGATGACTGATGATGACGCGTCTACTTAACTCCATAATCAAACGCCACTCAAACAATCACTGGACTCACTGTTGCTGGCGGCTGCCTCGGGCCTGTTGAGCGAGCTGATGATAACAAAGCCGAAGCCTTCGCTCTCCTTTCGATTGATGATGACATCGCTGGGTTGCGCGTTGGCGGCCGGCGTCCTGTCTGAAGTGGCGGCGGCATTGCCCATGGCGGCGTTGGGCGCCTGGGTAGTGCCGGTGCTGTTGGCGTAAGTGAAGTCACTGCGTGGGGAGCTGTGCTGCGTGGAGACGGAGCCCGGGCTACGGCCGTTCTCCGGACAGGACTCACCTGCAGCGGGAGGTAGAGAGCTGAGTATTTACACGGAGACAGTACTGGAAGAAGTATTCAGAGGGGTACGAAGAAAACATTTATAACCAAAACCCTCCACACCGTAACAACTTTGTACAGTCCCAATACAACAATGTGATACTAAATATAAATAAATACTCTGTTATAAATGCTCCCGAAGTAAAAGTACAGAAGTGTTATAAATACAAAGTAGTCGAAGCATCAAAAGTATCAATCAGGCTGCTTTGCTCTTTAACGATGTGCTGTATTTTATGTATTTTTTATGTAAAACTTTCAATCTCAATCAAATGCAGCCTGTCAATCACTTCCCGTTCATATCTATAAATGAAGGCCCTTTAACATTCCCCACACTGTGCTGTAACATTCCCCGTGTGATACATAACTGCTTCGGCAGAATCTAAGGATGATTCTGCATGTGCAAAAACAATTAATTTTTCAGTCCTCCTCTTATAACTGCCCACGCTGGAGCTGAATCTCTCTGAAGAATCAGGAATCAAAACAGAACACAGAAATAAAAAAACATAAAAAGCAGAAGCAACTGTCACAATGTGGTAAAACAAATCATTAAAATGCAGCATCGTGTCAATCCAGCCAGAGCAAAAGCAGCTTCTTGCACCTCTTGCTTTTTTGTGTGTATGCATTCTGGCATACGGAGCAATCAAACACTCTGCTGCTGCTGTTGTTTTGATAGCTCACCGAGAAGCGGTGAAGTGGTTTTTCTCTTGTGAATATAAACTGTTGTAAAGTCACAGCGAGATTTGTCACTGTAAAAAGAGTACACGTAGTAGTGTTCCCTTACACCAGCAAGTGTCCAAATAGTTGTTTTAGGAGGAGAAAAATAGACAAAAGAAGAGAAAGAATTGTGTAAATTGCGGGATAGTGGGTGCAGGTAGAAGAGCGGAGTCTGACACCTCGCAAAGCGCCAGTGGGAGTCAGACAATTAGGATGGAAGTAAGGGCCACAGAAGAGGCCAGGCATGAGTCAGACAGTAGCCTTTGGTGAGAAGAAATTGACAGAGAGGGAGGAACGGAGTGGGAAGAAGTGGATTGGTGAGAAGAGTGTGTGAATGTGTGTGGGGGGGCTGTAATAATGAGAACAGGGAAGGCCAGAGTTCAAAGGAGGAAGTGCCAAACCCAGTCTCCAGGCTGAAATGCAAAGAAACTTGAACGAGGACCAGAGAGCAACGGTGTGTGTAAGAACAAGAGCGGGCTAATGTGTTTCTTTGGGAAGGCTTGGGTGTAATTACTCAGAGAGAGATTAGTGCTTCAGTTTTCTGACTGAATAAATGCTGTTTCCTGAATCATTACAGGACAAAAACGGTAGCAGTGAACAGAAAAGGAGAGCGGTGAGAGAGGAACGGAGAGAGAGGAATTCAAAGAAAGAGAGAACGGAGTGAGAAGTAAGCCTGTGAGATCAATTCACGAAGCACTACAGCTTCCTACAGCTGTTCTGTGCAGGACTGACCGTGTTGAAATAAAAAGCCACGCATCAACTTCATTCATGCTCGCTCACCTGCTCCCTGCACCCTCCTCCTGATGACCAGATTCACCTGGCCGTTGCGCGCCGCCCCGTGCATCAAGTCGATGACGTATCTGTGTGGCTTCCCCACCACCGGGATCCCGTCCACAAACAGCAGCTCATCGCCGGGCCGCAAGCGCCCGTCTACGTCTGCTGGACTCTTCTCGATGATCGCCCCGATCAAAATCTGTTATCACATGTAGACTGTTACACACAGGAAGGAGAGGACCGCTTTGGATGCTGGACTAGTCTGTGAGTGTCGCATGCAGTGGGTGTTAAGTTGGTGGTTATAGTGATACATAAATAGCTCAATTACATGATTGAAATATTGTTTTGTTACTTTAACAGACAGCAAAAGACATCAAAGCAGCCAGAGCCAGCACTCTCTCAGGGGTCAGAGGTCAGGGGTTAGGTGTACACAGTGTGTGTGTAGCGGGTTAGAGAGGAGAAAATGACAGGGTTCCACGCCCATCGCCATACGAGCCTTCTCACGCGTCTCCGGACTCACAGGCTGCCCGGCCTCGTCCCCGCCCAACACCCGGAAACCGAAGCCGGACTTCTGTCTGCGCAGGTGCACCTCCATGTCCTGGTACTCCGCTGCTGAAGCGACAAGACCACAGACAACATTAAAATCCTGTTATTGCCTTATGTTGTCTTCAGGTTATGGGCAGTTAGAACTTTCACAGTGTCCCTGCAGAGCTGAGGGGCTTTTGTTACCTGAGGAGTCCACAGGAAAAACGGTCCTTGGTTGGCCAGGTTCTAGAACAAAAGATGTAGAAAGCAGCCATAAACAAAAAAGGCACCACTATTATACATACACAGACACCCACCCACCCACCCACACACACACACACACACACACACACACACAGACAGCAAACACAATCTCCCATAAAGGCGAGAACAAGGCAGAACGGCCCTGCCTCAGCATTAATGTCACCGCAGAATTTCAGCATCATCCATAAAAGTCAGGAAGTGCTTACGGCGTGTAATATACCCATCTCTTATTTACAGAGTGAGGCGGGATGCAAGCACTGATCTGCAATCAGGGGCTTCACACAACGCCATGATCTGCAAAATGAACTTGATTGCAGAGAAGAGGCTGAGAATGAAAAATTGATTCCAATTGTAACCGTTTTAATCACACCGAGCGCTCTGCTGGGACACAGCAGGGAGAAGGGAGGAAGAACATCACGGCTACAGACGAGAACAGCTGTTTCCACAGAAACCACAAACAGCGCTTCTTATAGAGTGAGCTGGTTTTTTGCAGCAGAGTAACAAGGCGAACACTTTACGCCGTGCTTTCTGCAGTCACGTTAACTAATCTCACCTCGAGGTCCATTTAAAGCAGTTCTGAGCTCATATCACCATTTTAATCACCAGATGTAGTTTCCTCCATTGTCAAGATTTGTAGATAACTTCTCCCCCTTTTTTTTTTCTCAGCTCATTAATGATGTCTTGTCTTATTTATTGACAATGTTTTGGTCTACTCAAGCTACCGTGTAGGTCAGACATCACAGCTGTGTGTGTGTGTGTGTGTGTGTGTGTGTGTGTCTCTAATAATTCTGCCACCAATAGCCACATTTCTTTCCAAAATCAGTGACCTGTTATTCTGGATAATCCACAGAGGGACTATTTCACACCAAAAACGCTCAGCCTCTACCACTAGAAATAATAATCAAATAGAGCATTCCTAAAATCTGTCTGTGAGCCTGCTGAGCCTCAGCAGACCCGACCCCTGACCTTTTATTGAAAGGAAGACAACAGTGAATGTCACACTGATCACTGTACATCCACGGCTGAGGAGAAGGGAGAGACAAGGGAGAGACAAAGAGGTTGGAAAAGGAGACTTCCTGACAGCCACGTCCTCTTGAATAACAGGTGCCTTACGTAAGAATGAACACCAGTCCCGTCTGTGGAAGCGTTTACTATCTCACGTCAGCCATGGCCCACCTCAGAGGAAACAAAAGAACCCTCCAAGAAAGTGCTGCCACACGCAAAACAAGACTTCATTCATATTTGTAATAACGTTTACTGCTATCATTGACTCCTGCGCTGCACCAGCCTTGACATACTGCACATACACAGGCAGTAGCTGCCGTTAAAGATGCTGAATTCATGTGTTTTGTGTCTGTGTGAATTTAGAGGTTTTATGAAACTATAAATTCCCATTTGAAATGATATTAAAGCATTTAAACCTTCATGTTGGGAGATACAATCTAGAGACGGAGTATTGAATTAAATTAACTTAAATAAAGAATGAAAAATCCAGATATTCATTTATAAACTTGTGTTGTGGTGTTTCTCAGTGTTTCTTTCTTCCTTCTAAAATCCTTGCTACAGCCCTGAACACACATACACCCATAAAACAACATATATACTAGCTTCTACTGCCTACAATTCCCACCGGCCGTTAGAGTTTTTATGGTGCATCCTGATGATATCCTAACAAGAAAAAAACGACTTTCTCCACATTTTACAAGTCCGGGGATGGTAATAATGCTGGCACCAAAGCATTATGTCCAGCTGCTGTATGGAGTGTTTATTCATGAACACATCTCCGTTTACGACGCGAGTCGGCAGGATGTCGATGTCTCAATGTAAAGATCCCTCCAGTCAGTAAAAAGACTGAGGTGATAGGATTGTGTGGCCGTTTAACAGAAGATCTAATGAGATAATAAGAGGAATTAGTGAGTGTTTGGGCTGAAACAGATCTTTCGCTTTGATAGAAGGAGGCAGCTCATCCGAACAAGCTTTTTAATTGTTTTGTGGAGCTTCAAAAGTGAACAACAACAAAGAATCTGTGACTCAATATGTGTGCGTTTGTGAGAAAAAGAGAAATGAACACCTTCCAGTTAGAAGTCCATTTGACGTCAGTGTTTTGTCACAATGCTACACCTGCAGTATCAGCTCTGGTACTTACGCCTACTCTCATAGATAGCCCTGGACTTCTCATAAAGGTCATAGGGGTCTGGTTTAGCCAGGGCCAGGGCCAAGGCCTCGGTGGCTGAGTCTGGGACCGAGGCCCTGTGAAGATGGTGGGTTGGGAAGGGGGCGTGGTGGGGGATAACTGGGGCTGACAGGCTGGTCTGTGCAGGGATGCCCTGGCCCTGCTGGGACTCCCACTGCTCCAGCACCTGTAAAGCACAGCAGCGGCATGAGGAGTCAATATTTCACGACCACCTTTCCCACTCGTGACAATCACTTTGATCTCGGTTAAACTTGAGCAGAGTTTGCTTTCATGACTTCTGACCGTTCGCTAATCCCCACCGCTCCTAATTACTGTCGCTACTCCTGTCAAGCCTTCTGTTCTCGCACAGCACACATGCACTTTACCAAGATAATGGTGGCAGATTTATCACTCACAATTTGCAGCGATTCAAAGAATTAAAACGCGATTTTGTTGGCTGAAATGACGACTCTTCCTAGTTGATTTTATTTAAGCTACGGCTTAAATGAGCTAGCTTGGACTTTAATATGCACATGAGGCTACATACCCTCGCCTGCTGATGATCCATAAAAGATGGATAAAACTAGTTATCCCTAAAATCAAGCAACAGTGTATTAGAATACATATATTATATAATATTATGTTAGGTTAGCTAAGCAACTTAGCGAGGCATGCTAACGTTTAGTTTTTTATCTTAATTCTTTGGTTTTTAACAAGGAAAAAATAACTATTCAGCGCTAGGTGTATTATTCTATCGCCCTCTTCACGTCGTGTAGGAGTGCGGAGAAGCCCAGAGCTTGACAGGTGAGCCGTGCCTAGTTAGGTGCTAAGCTACGATTGGACAATAGCCTTCTGGAGGACGGGGTTTAGTGAACGATCAAATCATGGTAGACAGACGGGAAGCCGGACAGTTAACGTTAGTGAGGTTAGTAGTTGAAAACAAGCAAAAACAATCCCAGCCGCTAATTTAACTCCAGTGTATATCAAGGATGTGTGTATGGAGAGGAAAACAAATAGAAGGGACACACAGATAAATATGGCCTTAGTTTGGGAAAATCATTTTGAATTTGATTTTATTGGCTACTCTGTTTTCATAAGGTAGCCTAGTAGATAGTATATAACACCTAATTTACATACGTTTCATCCAAAGACACATTTGGAAATGTGCTGTCAAGTGTTTGCGGTGACACCGACAGCTTTGACAACACCAGTGAGTCAGAGTGTCAGCCTTGATGTGTCAGATAAGTCAGGCCGCTCCGAGTCACAGCACGACACTAAGCAGATAGCCAAGATGACACGTTGGCATGTCAGAAAGCGTGAGAGACGGATCCGGAGGGAGCGACAGGCTTTTTGAAAGCGAGACCTTCTGCATATGGCACGCTTTAATATTGAGAATTACAGGGCATCTGGTTCAAGATGTAGCGAGAATAAATATCAGCTTCAATAAAAGCTCCGGGGCGGAATCAAAAGTGTTTCCACTCTTTGTGGTTTCATTCCCATCTGCTACTGATGTGAAGCACGTCTGCACGGGGCAGGCTGCTGAGACCGGGGAGCTTGTTAGAGCCGGGATTAGACAACTGCATCCTGATCTCTCTTTGACTTTCTCTCCGCCTCTGTTCGTCTGTTTGATTAAGACTGTTGAAGGAAGCACACTGGCTATGATGGTCAGATGAGAAGAGGACACTGCGGGAAGGTCTCCTTTATATTTTGGAACAAAAACCCCTGCACATGCTCCAACATTACGTAGCTGTTATGTACAGTATGGGATTTGACAGACACGTCTCAATAAGCCCTCGAGAGCTACAGTCTGAGCTCAACTGTAGGTCGATATGACAATCAGGCAATTCCCCGTTCCCTTATTAGTCAAATTCTTCCTCCATATTTCATTCTCAGAGCTGCAGAAGTCTTCTTGTAACAAATGATACCCAATTAAACTGAGAGTGTGCGGGGGTTCAGCTGCTGGGGGAGAAGGGCAGGGCGAGGTGGGGCAGCCAACAAATGAACACTGGGGGGGTAACGAGAGAGAGAGAGAGAGAGAGAGAGAGAGAGAGAGAGAGAGAGAGATGTGAACAGACAAGACAGAGACAGAGAGTGAGAGAGAGACTCTGCATGCCGTCTGTGATGTTCAAATATTCTTTTTTTCCCTCAGCGCTCAGGATTACAATTATTCTGCGGGGAAACGGAGGAGATTGATTAAAATCGACCGGGAGCAGAAATGGTGAACGATGAGGAGGAGAGTTTCAAGTGTCCTAAAAGCTACACAATGGATGTTTCCTGTGTTGTTTAGCTGTGATCTGGATTGAGGACAACATGAGCTGGGGGTCAGGTTCTGGTCAGGGCAGCGCTGGGAGGACGTCCAGGCATGAAATGGATTACACACATAGTCGCACTAAGAGAAACAAAGAACGATTTGGCACTCGCGTGCAGGCAAGTGAGTGAGACAAAACACACATGAAGACAAAGTGAATGGGATCAAAGAGGATGTTTGGTGGATTGAGTGTTTTAGTGTGCTCGGGGACAGCAGACGATACGACAGCAGAATATTTGTGGTGGAAGAGGCTGAATGCAAGTTTTTGCTGAATGTGACAAAAGGAAATGAAGGCAAGGTGAAAGATAAATGACCAGGGAGCAAAGTTAGGGTGGTATGAAAGAGCGACAAAAATCGGAAATATTGCAAAAATGTTATAAAAACAGGATGAATGCATCTGGGCCATGCCAAAGCAGTGTGAACGGAGGCCTAGCAGCACTTCGGCTGCAGCATAATTCAGTCGCCCTCAGTGTGGATAACCCTGAAGGCACTATTCAGGCTATGAATTAGCTCTGACTTGCAGGATCAACAGACAAGTTATGTGACGAGCAGGCCACTTGACCTTTTCTTGTCCTTTGGCAATGACGAAGGGGCTGAGTACCAGGGGCTAGCTGCTGTAAAAGCCACGGACGTATAGAGAATCATCAGCAGAGTTAGTGCGGCGAGGGCGGGACTGAAAAGTAATTTCTAGATCTCACAAACGTGTAAAATAAAAGGTTAAAGTCATTCTGATCAGCACATACAGTTTGCACACCGCAGCCATTGGTACTAACGTGAAACTGTATTTTAATGATTGAAAAGCAGAAATGGGGACAGTCCCGAGTCCTGAAGGCTGGTGCGTGTTACCTGCTTAGGGGTCTTCCAGGGTGAATAGTGACCTGCAATGTCGAGAGAACAAAAAAAATGCTTTAGACTGAAAAAGATGGTGGAAACAGATCATGAGATGGGCGGATTAATTTCAGCTGTGAAAGCCAATTTCAGGGTGTTTATGAGGATAATAAAAGGAGGGAAAACAACAGGATTACAGATAAACCACAAATGTGACATAAAAAAGTGTTTGTGAATGGTAGAAAAGACAAAGAAAAGAACAATTGACTCAAACAGGAAAAAAAGTAGAAGACGGAAAATAAATATGTACGAGGCTCCAGATAATCTGTGAAGCTAGAGAGATAAAAACAAGAGAGGCACAGCTGAGGAGCATGCTCACACAGTACGAGCCGTCTTCATATTGAACTGATGGACATGATAAAACGTGGCAGTGATCAACAGGTGGCGTGAATGATATGAACTAATGATTTTAAAGGCAGCGATGAATTCATCTTCTCCAATAGCGGTTAGGGTTAGAGTGTGAATTTTGATTGGTCCAACGATTTATCTTTGCACTCCTATAATATTGTCAGAGACGGACAGTTAAAACACGCATTTGTCTTCCTCAAAACCTCACACCTACACTAACCGCAATGCAACTCAACCGTCACATGGAGATGTGGGCGTGTTATGCTAATAGCAGCTAATGTAGCCTCAAGCCGCTAGCTTCAAGCAGAGGCTACAGAGGTCTGGTGAGCTCACCTCTTTGATGTGCACAATTGGTGGAGTTCCGTTGGTTCATCAGAGACTTTTTGATGAAAATATTAAATTAATGAGAGCGGTGGGACTGAACCAAAATAGCAAATACAGTACAAATAAGGACTCGTGTCATCCAGTCTTAATTTACTAACATCCACAGCTGCTTTAAAAGTGATCCATTCTTTATTTTTCCCCCATGTGCAACTTTAAAAAACTTCCATCTATTTCAACCAAAGTTTCGTCATACATCAGCTCCCAGAAGAGCTGCTTTTCTGTTCTCATTGTTACCAGAAGAGGGATTTGTGGATCCATCATAAATCTGTCAGGGCCCTCGGCTGTGACAATGAAAAGGCAGCGGGATTTGAGAATGCTTTCACGTAAGTAGGTTCAGGACGACTGTACCTCACAATAAAGTGGTTTGGGTTTGTAATACAGCGCAGCGAGGTAAAGGACACACGTTCTCTTTTGACTTTGCCATTCATCTTGCTTTGACCTTTACTAAGGTGCGCCACATTTGTGCTGTTTACAACATTGCTCAAGCACACAACACCCAGGCGTCTATCTCGGATGGTGAAAGAAAACAATCAGCACAAAGCAAAACAGCAGCAGCTGACATCAGTACGTGATACACGCTCGCACACAAATGAAGTAATGAAACATCCAGCACCGTTCCAATACTCAAATCCACAGGAACATGTAAAAAATGAGGCGCACACTCCATCTTCCCGATTCAATTTCTCTCCTTCCTGTCTTTCAAGTGCTGCCACGGCCTCCCTTCTGGGATGCTACGAGCATATGCAAATAGGGGGGGATCGAATTATGGGGTGACTGCTCGAATTATGCGCCAGCCTTCCCAGTGTTGGCCTGGCGAGGCTCCAATCACACAGTAAAACAAAAAAAAAAACATTCATCTCACTGAGTCGCCAGTGGAATGGTGACAACATGAAAATCAACAAGAGCGACACAAAGAAATTCAGCAGTGTTTGTCAGACTGTCAGCTTCTCTCAGTCAAAATAATCCAAACAGGATTTATATTTATTTAACAGCTTGTCTGAAACTCAAAGGATATTATGAAAAGCATGACAACAGCGAGGGACAGAGAGGATTTTTGCTTTTCCTCCCGAAGAAGGTCAATCAATGAAAAAGGCTTTCTGTCCAAAGTACCTACGTCAGAATATCTTAGTCCGTGCGAAGGGCACAGCGGGCGAAAAAGAGGCAACAGAGCAGTCCTGACCGAACCTGAGCTGACAAAAAGGAGCGGCACTACCAGGCATCACTGACCGAGATGATCCTCAGGGTAGAGTCACTGTTAACTCAGGCGTACCAGACATTTAGTTGGACGTGGGCGTCAGTGTGCCCCACGGCTGATCGTTGAGAAGGGGGCGAGAGACTGAGAGAGAAAGAGAGAGAGATAGGAGCTGTCCATGGTGCTGAAAGCCCTTAGCCTCACTGCCAAGCAGACTTGTCAGCTGGGCTGCAGAGAGCCACTGTACACGAACCCTGTGGTGTCAAACTTGCACTTAGCTTCTACGCTAACAGGTGTCACATCCTCCTGAAAGTGTCACCCCTTTGTGATGCATGCAGGACCAGGAGGGGCAGAACCGCTTGCTTATTCAAGCCGGGTGCAGAGAGGGCGAGAGTCCAAAAATGAATGTGATTGTGTACACCGCCCCCCCCACCCCCCCAACCTCAGCCCTGGCAGGGAACGATGACCGGGATTGGTTGAGGTTGTGCCTCGTGTTTCAATTTCTGCCCCAAAAAACTCCAATTAAAGAGTTCTGAACCGAGAGCCTTTCTGCTTCGATGATGCCAAAACAAACAAAAAAAAAAAAAAAACGACAAAATTGCACACGCATCCAACCATCTGACATGCATAAGGCTACATTTATTCACCCATACAAAAAACGCAGATCACTTTAATTTCAATGAATGAGACTATGATAACACTAGAACAGTGCTTGAATCTTTCAGCCCTTTATGGACGCGTATCTCCCTTTCATGAGGGAGGCTGGCAGCTTCACAGCCACAGCAGAAAACCGATTCTATCCACTTCTATTCAGATGCCCGTCCAATGTTTGTCTGATGTTCTCGAAAACCAGCCTCGTTGAAGCTGTGTGCAAAACAAATTATTTGCAGGGTACACGGTTGAATACGCATGATCTTGAAGCTCAAAACAGCACTATTTATTTCACCGTGCTCATGCAACACTAGGTAATCACTCCGTATCCATTAAAACTCAAATAGGAGTGATTTGTTTAAGAGGCAACCAAGGTTGGCGTTTCTACACCTCCCACACACGGGGAGGAAATGCGGAGCCTAACTTCTGCTTCTGTGATCTCATTTCGATTTGCAATAAGGCTAAACACCATTAGCTTTGTTTAAATCTTTCTATTTCTGACGGGATCTAATCTCAGCATCTCGTCCATCATGCACAAGGCTCGGCTGTCTTCTCGCGGCCGACCGGTTGTGATATCGATCCCTGGCGGCCGCCCCCTCCGGGTTTGGTAGGGACAGAGCTGTAAGTGTGAACATGGCCGACAGTCTGTGGTCTACTGGCAGAGAGCCGAAATCATCACTCTCCTGCTCTCTCCTCCCTTTTCTCTTCCTCTCTTTAGTTTCCAACTATCTTGCACACACACATCCAATGAATCACTGTCTAGTTACACACCGATTCCCTGGGAGGCTGAAGGAGGCTCAGTGAATCAAACCCTCCTTCTTCTTCTCGTCTTTCTCTACAGAGCAGACCTTCACCTCAGGTCCGCATGGTTGTTAGAGCGGCCTCCGGTCATCTGTGTGCACACGACCAATCTCAGGTGAAGGGTCGGACCAGGCAGCTGATTCATAATGTACGATTTACCCATGATAGTACGAGAAAGGGGGAGTTTATGTAAGAGCGCGGGGGCTTGTGTGCAGAAGGCTGCCTTGGGAGGTGTGCGAATAAGAAGAGGAAAGTGTGTGCGTTGGCTTGTCTTGTGTAGGTGTGCGTAAAACCTGTGTGAATCAAACCATGTGGCTCGGCGTTTGTGTGAGTGTGTGGGCGGGCTGCAGCGGGGGAGAACGCAGCCCGTTAGCGGAAAGCTAAATGGACGAGCGTACATGGGAACGAGCTGAAAGTCTCAGCAGCTAATTACAGCCCTGTGTGTCTGCTAGTGTAGCAACGAGGACACAGCCTGTTAATGGTCTAGATAGCCACTAATGAGGCTGTCTGCCATGCACACACACACACACACACACAATAATGACTGGTGATGAGAGACAGCGTGGCCATTTGTTGGGCAAAAACGGCTCAGGAGTCAAACTCAAAATCAAGGGATGACTAAATATCATAACTGTATTATGAGCGGGAGCTTTTCAAGGTGATGGGGCTTAATGGACTGGATGGTTTGATCATAAAAGGCTCAATGTTTGGACAGCAGAGATGCCCCGGTCACGCTTCTGCAGCAGACACACCGACTGCCGATTGTTGATGAGACAAATCTGCCAATAGCGATTGTTTCTTTGTTGGATTTGTTGTGTTATAGCAGCTGATACACAAGGAAAAACTGGTTTCACCACCGTCCCGGAAAATAATTTCAAAGTCAGTGTAAACACTCAAAAATTCTAAATGTTGTTCTTTAACTTTGTTGTTGTCATTTATAGAGGAAAAGAAACGCAATTCAAACAATTAGACAATTGTTGTGTTTTTAGAATCCCCTCTCTAACATCTATCTATTGCTGTGAAAACACTGAATTTGAGAACATTGCATCAGCACTTCTGAGTCTGAGCGCTTGGGCATTTTAACTACTTCCCTAACTGCTACCATTCGCAGCTTCTCTGATGTAATTAGAGTGCTGAAATAATAATCCATTTGTCGACTGATTCGCAAGTAAAAAGAAATGTAAGAGACCGAGTGTCAAGGTTGTGAAAAGCGGCCACTTTTCTGTTTCTTTTGTTGGTGATGATTATATCTGTGTCTCAGAACGACCGCGATGATGAATTGACACTAAAGACATCATGTGCTCTATGCATTGCAATAATAACCCGCTGCTGCTCTTTTTGGGCTGTTTGCTCTGTCCATGACAACATAAAGCTTTGCTGAACGCTGGCTCTCTGTTTTTAATTCTCACTCTAGTTGTACAACGTTTCTCTGCTCCTTTCTCACTTCACTTCTCCTTCCTTTCTGTGTCTTTGTTCATGGACAGACAGAAAAGCTGAACCAAAGACAGGAGGTGTGGGAGAGAGACACCTGTAATTATTGATGAAGCTCAACCTGTGAACCTTCCTCGCCACCCCGGCCATTTGTGATCTCTGATGCTGGACATGGAGTGTGTCGTCTTAGCAACTGCATCATAAAAAAAACATTAGAGTGTTGTTTGTGGGAGTTGTGAGGGCGTAAAATGCTGCCAATCCCTCCTCTACTTTACTGGGTGTATGTGTGTGTGTGTGTGTGTGTGTGTGTGTGTGTGTGTTCTCCCTGAGACCACATGCTAAGAGGTGGCAGCTCTGTCCGCAGCACAAAGAGCTAGTCAAATAAATTCCCTCATGCAGAAATATGCACACTCGCACACTTCTACACTTCGCCAGCTCAACGTGCTCGTTCAAGCCTCCGCTTTAGATTGAGTTTACGGTGAACTGGGCAGTCTCTGGAGTGTGCCGGAGACGAGAGCGTGACGGATATCAGTCGGTGGCCTCTCTCTGCACTACGCTGGCGAGCGTGCACGAGCACTTAACGGCCAGTTCAATTAGATTGCGTGGCCAGCGTCCAGTGGTCTGAAGGAAGGGGCCGAATGGTGGTGTTAAGAGCTGGAACATCATTCCAGCAGCATGGTGACAGCTTTATTACGACGGGTAATAGCTTGGCTAAACGCTCGAAGCTCGCCTGTCTGAGGAAGCTGGGTGGGAAAAGAAAATCAGCTGCTACTCAAACCTTGCAGTGGCTGCTGGGAGTCTGACACAGTATAATATACAGTATTCATGTTGCTGAAAACCCTTGTTGTCATTGTACGTTTCTGCAAAGCACAAGATTTTTGAATGCTGACGTTTCTGAACTTGTGGAAACCCACAATGCAACGTGGTGAACGCTGGGAGAGGACTGGTTAGGTTTAGGCAATAAAACTCCGTGGTTAAGGTTAGAAAACTGTACTTGTAAAGCGCTTTTCTAGTCTTTCCGACCACTCAAAGCGCTTTCACACTACTTGTCATTATTCACCCATTCACACACTGATCGGCAGGGGCGAGGCGCCACCTGCCGATCAGACTGTCCACGTTCATTTGGCTCCTTTTCTTAGCCGTAGTCCTTTCTGCACACGTGAGTGCCATATGCGCCTCGCTGCCGTGAGAGCAGACCGGGTGGCACGGACGGTTTTTCCACCTCTCGCACCCGCAGCTTGTCAAGTCACAGCAAATCAGCACAAACAGATGTGACACTGCGCCCGGCCGTGTTGTTGTGCAGTGGAGCTAAGCCACATCCAGATCCGGAATAATGAGATGAAATATAGCATGTAAATAAGGTTGCCGTTCTCTCCGCGGGCCGACAGGCTGCTTTTTATACGGGAGCGCTCGTTTCGACCTTCCGAAACTCTGCAGCGAGTGATGAACCGGGACAGATGGCGGGAGCGCTTCTCCGTCAGCTTCGTGCGCAGATGGGATACTGTGTGTTTTTATGTTTGAGTGTGAAGAGTGTGTCGACAGACTGGAGATTTTTGAGGTGGTGGCACAAAACATTTGACCTCCCCCATGTGTGTAAGTGTGTTCATATGTCGCCGGATGTCATTTCAGAGGTTCTGGCTGAAATATATTTATTTCCCCCCCTTTTTGGGATAAGAAAACCATCCCTGCTAGAAGCTCACTTCTGTTTCTTGGCTCCCAGCTCACTGGTAGATACATGGGCAGCCTAATAAAGAAATTAATAGTAATGAATCTATTCAGAGAGCGCCGCTGACCTTTGTGGGTGAGTCTCAGTGGTGTCTGTGGCACCAGGCAGTTGGCATTATGATCGGTATGTGACATTACGCAACACAAAGAGGCAGAATACAGAAAATTACAAAGTGGTTTCGCACAAAAGCAAGAGCAGCGTTGGTTTCCCCCAATCCAGTTGGCTCGGCTTCCAGCTCGCACTACGAATGAGCGCGAGTGCTAAAGTTCATGCGTCGTCACTGAGAGGACGCCAAGAAGAACCGGGGACAGGTAAACTCAAAGAGGGGAATCATTCGACAATACTCAACAACAAGGTTTCAGAGACAGATCTGCTCGGTTGATTAAGAGCCGCCATTGCCATTTCTAGATTTAATTAAAATCTAGCGGTTTAATCTTCAACGCCGGAGCTTTTGGCTGTGTCATCGCTGGCAGACGGACAAGCTCAACAATTCAATAAGTGTGCAGGCTCAGTTTGTAGGCAGACCACAGCGTACACGCAACTTTCGTTCCGTCATTGGAACGATGCACACGAAGACGCGACGGTGAAGCTTTCTTCTTTTTCTTTCAGTGTCAAAGGCATCGCCATTAGATGTACGCTGTCTAATGCACGCGGGCGGTTCGGCGGACAGAAAAACCTGTTGATTCTGCAAATCACAACCCTGTGTGTGACTCAACACAGAGTGCAGTGCATAATTATGATTGTCAGAGGGCCACACGTTCTGAAAAACACAAGGCAGAAAGCACTTCAGAGCCATTTGCAGTTTAGCAGCATTATTCTGTGAAAAACGGTGCTACTTTTGACAGGCCTTCATTTTGGGGTTTTTATTCATGGCTCACAAAAAAAAGGGTAAAGTTTGCCATACATTTAAAAGTGACTTTGAAAATAACTCAATGCTGCAAAAGGCATGCACCTCAATGAAAGGATATTTGTTGACCACTCTGGGTTATGGGTCAATGAGCAGAGAGGCATCTACTTAAGTAAAGTGAAGGAATGGCTTTCTCCCGATGTAACAAATGGGAAGGGCACTTGAAAAGAGCTGTGCATCAGCCAGCCATTGTTGAGCACTGCAGGACTGCATGATAGGTTTCTGCAGCCTTTGGAATAGACCTCACACACACACACACACACACACACACACACACACACACACACACACTTGGCTCCAACAGTAAAAGATGACATAGATGAATAGGTGGACAGATATGAAACTAGAAAGGCAAATATGGAGAAGACCCGGAGAGATTGGAGGGCTCGCGTTGAGCCAACAATCCTCCCACCGTCCCTACCTGCAGCCATCGATCTTACCTGTTCCACCCCTCTGAACCACCAGGATGGTCTCTGCTCCCACGGCACACTCCTTGAGGAGCTCCACCACCTGGGTGTGTACGAATCCCTGCACGTGTTGCTTGTTAATCTCCACAATCAGGTCGCCCTCGCACAGGCCTGGGCAGCCCTGAGGCTCCAGCACCTGTTTGACCCGCTGGCCCGTCGCGCTGTCCGCGATGGTGAAGCCGAAACCTTCCCCGCCCTTCACCATGGTCAGGGTCAGCAGTTCCCCCTGGGTGGCCCCCGACGACGCCATGGAGACGCTGTCGGGAGGCGTGGTGCCGGTGGTGGGAGGAAGCGAGCCGTCCAGGTGGGTGTCACCCGGGTGAGGGGTGAGAAGCTGCTGCTGGGCGTTCACCTGGTCCTGGCCGGGGTCTGTGATGAAGCGGGCCGTGCGGGAGAGATAGTCCAGGTAGTTGTCGTAGCCCGTCCGGCCGTTCACCATGATGGGCCGCTGCTCCATGATGCCCAGCGGGGAGAGGATGGTAGTGGTGGTGTTGTTGCTGGTGTTGCCGGCTTCCTCCGGGTCGTAGGGCAAAGGGTAGCCACGGCACAAGACGAGGGTGACGCTTTGGCCGATTGGCACCGACTGGAAGAGTTTGACCACGTCAGCGTGGGTGGTGCCCAGGACACACACGTCGTTGATGTAGACAATGACGTCACCTGGACACATGGAAACATATTGGTCAGGTGTAAAGGCCGGAACACTGAAACTCAAACAGAAGCTACAGAAACCGCAACTTCCTGTGAGTATTTGACAAGCACCAATATGCCACTAGACAGGGATGCCAACAGTGTAATTGTTTAGCATGTCATTGTTTAGCATTTCCCCACAAACCTAAGTCTTGAGTTAACGTCACTAGCTTGATTAAGACCGTTGCTTACAAACTAAAATACATGTGTAAGTCCTACAGGACTTAACATGTGTATGTGTTTTCAGTAGCACATGCATAAAAAGAAGTTGTGATTTATGAAACGTATATCTTTGTAATGGCTGGTTTACTTATTCAAGATAACAATGAGGCGATGCAGAATCAGCTGGTCAGGAACATTGATTTATGCACAAATTTGCTTTTTTCTTGAGTTATAGATAAGGCTTAGTGCGAATTGGATCGCGATGGTTTTTCATTTTTAAAAAGTGGCTCCCCAGAAATAAAGTTTGGGAAACAGATGTTCGAGGAGGACATCATGGCTAGGGGAGATATGATGATGTATAATACGCCCACTTCAGGAGAGCAGCAGTTGCACAAATGCTAACAAATGAATTGCTGTTTAACCTTTTTTTGAAACACAAACGGTTCAAATTTGAACAGCAGCTGCTGTAATATGTACTTAATTATCTTGAAATTAGAATATGCAGAATAAACTCCCGGTCTGAAAGACTAAAAGAAACTCTCAATGAGAAACGGCATTGAGTAACAGATGCTGGTGTTACAGCGAAGGACTGAGGCTGTCTGCAGCTATTCTAGTACTCAATCAGCACCGTCTCTCCTTTGATTTCACTTTCAGCTATAAACAATCTCTCCAGATAAACATTACCACGCATAATGTCTTATCTCCCTTTCAAGTGTAGAATGCTGCTGATGACAAGTGGCTGAAATGTTTGCCTTTTATGGGGCCAAGTGCTTTGATTTGTTCCCCGCAATATACTGCACTGTAGATAAAACCCAGCTGACAATTAACTGCTCCCACACTAAAGCGCTCCACAGGCTTATCTTTGTCTCAACTGGATTACTAAATATAGTGTTTTGTGCTCCGCTGTGCCGGCACCATGCAGGTTTTTTAAAACACTGGGCCAGTGGGAACACAAGGCACGATCCACTTTAAAGTCTGACAAACAGCATTACCCTAGGTTGATTATAAAAACAATTATTTCCTAATTGCAGGTATAATTGTCGTGCTCTTTAGAGAGCGGGTGGCTGCAGAGAGAGTAGGGGAAAAACAAAGACCTTTCATCATTAATAGGGAAGGTGTGTGCTTCAGTGATTGACCCTCACCTTGTTAACCACAAGCTCCATGCTGTCCACTTCCCTTAAAGCGTGAGCAGGAGACGATATCAGCAGTAAAGCAACATGGCAACTCACTGGGGTTTCTTGGATAGACTGTTGAAGTGGAGGCGAGCTGCTGACCCCTCTGAGAGACAACAGCAAGTTAAGATGTCACCGAAATGTTCCCTCATTGTAAACCGTGTTGCCGACAAACGCTTTCCAAGTTTAAACGCTCTGCCGGTATCGACGGAGCGAGCTCCCGCCTCGAGGCAACGTGACGTGAGGGACTTTTTAATTAATCCGGATAAACACGGACGACGTTGGCCTTGAGCACTAGTGTCACAATCAATAGTTTGAGCACACTGGCAGAAAACAAATGCTGGTGCCGTGACCTCGAAGCGCCTTCGCTGAGCACATAGATCTCATTCTTTATGACCGGAGGGAGGGGGGGGGATGCAGGAGACAGGTTTGGCTTTATGTGCCAATGTTTAGTGACATCTGCCTCTGAAACTTCTGTCACCCCCCCCAGGACAATGGAGGTGAATTGAGTTGTATTGGAAAGGACACTATTGTCTCGATAGAGCTGTTGACTTTTTTAACTCAATGCAGTGAGCGCCACGGGTTAAATTAATCTCAATCTAAAACAAAAACTCTGAGTCCATAGATACCACTAGGGCTCAGATTAAAATGACCCTTTATAAACACTTATGCTTACAGGTGAACCGAGACAAAAACACACACTCATGGCCACAAAACAGCCCCCTCTCCATCCCTTATATTATATATATATATATATATAAATATATATATATATATATATATTATAATCCCTCTTGGAGGTCCCTTGTATACTCTAACCCACACTGACCTTGACCGTAAACACCACACTCACTGGGAACAAGGCCCACGTTGCTACTTCATCTTTCAATGTCCCATCCTAGAATATTCCTTATGACACATTCATCTCCGGCTAACGGGGTGTTCAAGAGTCCGTCGACATAACGAGAGGCCTCTGTGGCCTGTGTGTGTGTCTGTGTGTGTCAGGTTAAATGAGGTCCAAAGTGCACCACGGCCGTGTCAGACGTGCAGGCGTGATTAGAATAACTAGTGCAGCGCTCGTTTAAAACGGGCCTTTTCTGAGCAGCTCGGCCCTCCGGTGTCACTGCTTTCTGGAGAGCCGCTCAACAGCTTCACCCTCGACACTGACGCTTCCTGAGCAATACGCCCGCCAAGTGTGAAGTCGATGGGATTAACGGTTGTCGAGAAAAGTACTAATACATGTGTCCCATGGACCTCCGGTCTCTCTTCCTTTATCCGAGTGACGGAGAGCGAGTTGAACCCAGCATCCCGTTTGGCGGTGTAACAGCAAGTAGAGGACCGCTCTCGACACTCTACACAGTGTGAACACAACACACTACTCCTAATTACATCCCGCAGATCTCGAGAGCTCACACTCGACCTTGGGTCCTCAGCAATACGCCCGCCAAGTGTGAGGTTGATTGAATATTCTCGACAACCATTCATCCAAAGGACAGACATGTGGACAGAGAACATTTCAGTTGGATGATAGGAAGATGAAGATAAATGGAAATGTCCGCTAAAGCTTTGGTCAATTTTGACATGCTGAAGCAACATGCACAGGGCTGTAATAAGAGAGATAGTTGCTTTACATGTTTCCTTATAATACTGGGACAACTATCTCAACACTGCAAATTAAAAAACAGTGATGTTTCTTTCTGTACATGTCTTCTACATGGATCATTAAGGATGCTGACTACACTACGACATGAAGCTTTAGCCTCTGTCTTTCAGCGCTATATCATGGAGCATTAAGTGCATATTTAAGGAAATTTAAACTGTAAGTCAGCTGGAAACATTACAAATCCAGGCAACTAACTCGTGGAGCTAACGTTAGCATAATGTGCTAGCAACACCTTGTCGTATTAGCCGAATAAAAGGACCCAATGTCAGTGTGCTTTTCTTTGTCATTCTGAATCAAAATGTGATGTTTGAATCTGACTTTTTAACTCATTTTAGTAACACTACAAAGGTAAGTGAAGTTTGACACAGTTTGACGTGTATCTTATACAAATAGAGCACACGCTGTAGTAACACTGAGTTACAGCAGTTAGACTCTCCAGTTTGAAACATATTGTACCAAACAAACCCACTGAATTTTGTATTAAACTTTGCCTCTGGCATTTGAACTCAGCCTCTCCACTTCAGCTCTGTATTCCACTAAAACATCACAGTTAACATCTCACAAAACACAAAATATCTCGCCTGGACAAAAGTGCGGTCCACCAGTCATAAATCCAATAATCTAAAAAACTTCTACAACAAGAGAACATGAACATGTTTCCCCCCGGTGGTGTAATCACGTGGTGGAGACAGCCAGGAGGGATGATGGAAAAAGAAAGTGGCACAAATTATATATCTGGAATTGTGAATTTCACACCTCTGTAGTCCTGGTTCTACGTCCGTGTGAGCCACTGAGTTACTGTGACCGAGCTAGCTCTGTTACTGCAGAAGTAGGACACAAAGTCTGGGGGGGCTAAGTGGGGGGGGATGGAGGCTGGATGGTGAGATAGAGATGGAGATGAGCTGAAGGGAGGAACGCAGTGGAGAGGAGAGGAGACGGGGGGAAATTCTAAAAGAAAGAGAGAGGAGGGGATGAGAAGACTGACCCTGAAAATGTTTTATAAGCATCATTGTCAGGACAAGCTTACTCATCAAGGGATCTTGTTCTGGGCCGCTGCACCGACACATTTATACAGAAACAGACTTTAATGACTCAATGTTCTGCAAAAAGTCACAACTGAAATCTATTCGAATTCAAAAGCGCTTTGGAGAAGAACACTAGCTTTACTACAGAGCAAACTCCAGAGCAGCTTACTTTATGTGTGATACACGACCACCATAAGCTCCGTGTTGGCTCCAGAGTATACGGATAGAAACATCACAGCATGCTGACAAAACCTGCTAGTTCCATTCGCTCGACCATAAGTACAGCTGCTCCGTCCCAGTGTGTGTTTGTGTGCATATGTGCTGCAGTTCCACCCGCATCATGTGGCCGCAGCCAGGAGTTATGGTGCCCATAAAGTCCCTTTCATGATTAATGAAATGGAAGAACAAAACTCTGCAGTTGGTGCACAGGCATGTGCACACACACACACACACACACACACACACACACACACACACACACACACACACACACACACACGTACACACACACACACACACACACACACACACACACACGTACACACGTACAGAGCTTAAACAAGGCTAGCTTATCAACTTGCACCTGCACACACACACACACACGCACACGCACATGCATACAATGCGTGCGTTATCCATGTGCACTTGTTACCATGTGAAACGCGTACCGTGTTTGTATTCAGGTGTTTGTTTTGAATGTCACTATCTGTCGGCTGCGGAGCGTTTAAAAAAGATGAAATGTGGAAAAAGGTTTGCTGATAAATGGACCAGATACGGGAAACCTCTAAGAAACACACATAATTGTCATGCTGACATCTACGGGATTTCTGTAATTCTCTGGAAATGCTCTACTCGTTATGCATATTTTAACACCTGTGCTATCTAAATGTATGATGTATGATCAAATACATGCCAGTCGTGTTTCAAGAGGAATGTCATATTAAATTAGCGAGGATAAGCTTCTTTTGTGCCTGTCAGGTTCTTGTTTATTGAGCTGCATGCGAAGGTTGTTCATTGACTGTGTGTGCTCTCATGTGGCCCTGTGTTGAGTATTTTACGCTGCCAGGTATCACAGGAGTTCATGGTTGAATGAAAGAAGAGAAATGTGTATTTGTTGGTTTGCGTGAGAGGTTTCCGGCCACGCCTGAGGCTTACCTGTGGCCATCTTTCCGTCAGCTGCGGCAGGCCCATCGGGGATAACGCTCTTGACCTGGAGGAATTCGTCCGGCTCGTCTCCTCCGATTATAGTGAAGCCAAAGCCCATGTTGCTCTTTTGGAGTGATGTGGACAGGAAACTGCCTTTCAGCTGAGTGGGGTCCCGCGTGAACAGCGGCTTCTCTGTAAAGGACACATAAACAAACAAATTAACCGAATACAAACGGCTACCGCTGTGAACGTTTTATAGCAAATGGTGAAAGGACCTCAAAGCTGGTGCAGGGCAGTGCTCACAGGGTGGGGGGGGGCATGGGGAAAGCTTATCCGGTAAGACATGGGTGTAGCTACAGGAAAAACTGGCAGGGTACGATCTTAACTGCGAACTTGGACAGAGGTGGGTCGGTGGTGCTGAAAGATACAGGTGCGGCTACCGTGCAAAGGTACAAATGCAACATCCCTCCTGGTAGACATACTGAACTTATATCCGTTCCTCTCTTCCCATGCTGGGACATAGTGGGCAGAAAGGGTGCAGAGAGCGTCAGTGGTGCAGGTCTTCAGTCCCATCACCAAAGGCTACCCAGGGAGCAGCAGAATTCGGAAAATGACATGCTGTCAATCAGGGTACAGCTCCAAGAGAAGATGGTTGAGAGGGTTAGGGAGGAACTGGGGAGGGGGGGGGGGGGTTGGGGGGGGGGGGGCGCCGTGTGCAGAAATGAGAGGATCTCAGCCAACAAGCTTAGTTACACTCAACCAAGTCTCCCATCTTTTCACCTCGGAGGGAGACGAGGCTGGTGCGCTAGTTGACATCCCTTTGTTTGCCGTCACTGGTCCAGACATCGACTGAGTGATTACACTCTCTGCCTGCTCACGCCGGGCGATTACACGTGTCATGGTAAGCGCTCGTCACTCAAATCCTCAAACTGCCTCAAGCGAAAAAGCTTGCTTTGCGAGCTAGCATGCTTACAGCAAGTCAAACGAGCGCAGGCAGCCATGAGAACGACAGTCAGCCTCCCTTTGCTTCTCTCTTGGTCTACTTACTGATAAAGTGCCACAGGGAGAAGGGGCTACAGACGGGCTGCTCTAGCACCACAGCGCAGGCGGAGGTGGGAAGTGGCTGACACTGCTGCTGGTGGTGGTGGTGGTGGTGGTGTTGGTGGTGGGGGCACATATTCATGCGCCGAGTCAGGACACGCCGGAGCGGGGAGGCGTCGGCGGAGGAGGACGTGGCACACGCGGCGGCCCGGCGGCCCAGGGTTGGCGAGCGGGAGAGGTCGCCGAGGCTGTGGCAGCGCTCGGGCACCGCGCCGACCTGAACTCGGGCGGATCTGGGGAGGGTGGAACAGGGGCTGGCATCCTCCACTGGCAGCCGAAGTTTGGAGTGAAAAAAGAGGAGGAGGGAGGAGGTCGGGAGAGGGAAGACAGAGAGCCTCACTGGAATGTACACAAAGTGTAACCACGGAGACAGGCTCTCGACTCTCGAGCGGCGGACTACTACGTTTCTATGGAAACAAACCTCCACTTCACGAGTCCAGACAGTTTTTATTCTTTCTAGCAGTGCATCCCACTGCTGTGGCTGCTGGAGACTGAGCACTGGAATCAGGTAGCAACAAACCAGCCGTTAAACAAAATAATGAAGTCACGTTTAAACCCACATGCTCGCTGTTCGTATGACAAAGTGTTATCGTCAGTCCCAATAGGATGCTGCTGGTCCTCCGACTGTTTGACGGACGCTCAACAATGAACTCATTGTTGCGTCTTGCTGTCAATCAACGCAAAAATAGCCTTGTTCCTAACGAGCAACATGTGTGCATCAAAAGAGAATCCCGTATTGTTTCATATTGTGCACACTGTAATAATTTAAGACGGTCAATTCATATGAAATGGCTCATTAAAAACATATTCTGGTGGACAGATCGAAATGTTTAAGATTTCTCAAGTATTATACAGTAAATGTTATGAATTCTGATGTGAACATGAACATCTTTAATTCCGGATCCGGCTTGTATGAATTTGCGGTGTTATGTAAACCCATATTTGCACACAAAGCTTCATTCATATAAATAATTCACTGCTGTCATGAATGTGCCCCATTACACATATCAAGTCAGAGAGGTTAGCAACATGGTTTGACTTATTTATGAATTGAAGTTATTTAGCTTGAAAGTTGTTGTTGGTTAATTGCTGTCAGTTACACAATAATAACTCACTGATTTCAGTGAAGTTAGTTTTCCAATTTGTAATAAATACGTGTTGTTAACATGAATATAATTCACCAAAATGTTTTCGACTGCAACTACTTATGTCAAATTCTCTTCATTTTTAAATAGACATGGTTATAATACATTTGAAAATGTGCAATACATCAATATATGAAGCTAATAAGAAACGTTCTGGGGCTGTAAAAAGACGACTGAAACTTAGAAAGGTAATGAAATGACTAAGCTCGACTTAGCTGTATTGACTTAGATATATCCTCTACAAACATACAGACAGAGTATGACTATATTCTCTAATAATGGGAAATGAATGGGGTTCATCCGTGGTCTTACCTCTGTAGATGGTGGGAAGGGGCAGTGAGGACAGACCCTGGCTTTGCATCTGCTGCTGCTGCTGGAGTCTCCTTTTAGCCTCCAGGACTGGGTTCTCAAACTGGGTCCTTCTATTTATATGGCTGTGATGATAAAAAAACAAAAATACCAGAAGAGATTTCAGATTTACATCTCTCTACTGCTGCGTTTAACTTACACCCCCCCCTCTGAGCAGAGATCAGATCTAAAACTCTGGGCACGACAGCAGCTATTGCTGCGATGATTAATTAAACGGTCGGTCCCACAGATTATGTAACAGAGCTGCAGAATGGCCTTGCTGAGTAAAAAAAAAAAAAGAAAAAGAACAAACGACCGACTCTGGGCTTTTCCTCCCGTCTTATGAGCAGAATTATGTGAATCAGAGACTGGGAGGAGACCCACACATGGGACAGTGACTTCCTTAAATGTCCCACGTCGTTCTTAATTTAGTCTGCAACTTGGAAGATGTAGTCAACGACTACAAATAATGTAATTTGCCAGTGTGAAATAATTAGTCATCATTAGATACTTTTCCTCACTCTCTGAGGCTGCATTGTGCTCTCCCTCACACACACACACACACACACACACACACACACACACACACACACACACGCACACACACCCACACAGTCATCCTCCTCTTTATCTTTTAATGAACACCCCAGTATCATGGTGCTAATTACAAAACAGCTTGACTATATTTTTTACATTGTTACATAATTTCAAGGTCTGGCAACTTCTATGATATTTACATGACGACAAAGCGAGACAAGGAGAAGATCTCGAGAGGGGAGTGCACATAAGCACATAAGGCAGTAAGTAGTCAAGTGTCATTTCTTCGGCAAAGTCGAGCCAAATGACTCCCCTGCATGTCTAAAAATAGAGCACGGAGAGCACCCAGCCAAAAGAAATGACACCCCTGAACAGGGAGGGGACGTGCAGTTCAATACAGAGCACACGCTACTGCAGCAGTGGAGACATGCAGAGGCTTTTAAAGAAAGAGACACACTGATCTCTGCTCATGAGCTAAGCTACAGATATAGATGCAGACGAGTGTTTCCGACAGAAGGATCACACGGAAATATGGAGAAGCACACAGAGACGAACAAACTCCCCCCCCTGCAAACAAACATCCAGCCGTCAGAAGGCAGACAGAGGGAGCAGCCGCTTCCTGGCTGCAGAGCCAGTCTGCTGCGATAGGAATATGATTTAACACAGCACCACCGGGCCACATTGAAAAATCAAAAGCAAGCCGTTGCATATTAAAGATGTAGCCGACTTACTCAACATAGTAGCTGCCGTAAATGGGGTCATCGATTTTCTCCCAGCCGTACGGAAGCTCTGTGAAAGAAGAAGAAGAGCACCAGTGAGACGACAATAACGAAGGGGCTTGTTTATTCAATGAACTTGCAACAGAATATTGATCTTACATGAAAACATCTTTGTGGCAGAATTAGTTTACAGCATCGTACATAATTACCAGGGGTTCTGATGGCGCGATAACGTGTTAACTGGAGGGCCGTTATTCACGCCTCTGCATATTCTGAAATCTTATCTTTCATTAAAAAAAAAAAAAAAAGGGATGGCGACAAGACATGAGATAAAAAAACATTTGAATACATATGTTTTCTAAGCAGCTTGTCACATCGATTGATTTAAAAGAGTTGCAAAATAACACCAGACATTGATAGATCTAGTGGCGGAATTTAAATCAGTGAAATATTTATGCGCTGCATGTTTTCTGTGATGTAAATATTGGTTTTTGATGTGAGACCGTTGCAGAGATTAACAGCTTTAAACTAGAACATGCACAAACCCCGAGCTTGTTGAACCTGCACAGTGTCAGCTGGTACACATCTCTATCGGTGGTTAACAGTTAAATAGCACACGGCAGTCAGTTATTGTCAGATGACAGACGGATCAAAGAGCGGAAATGCTGTGAGAAGAATTTGAACGACACATATCAGAGTATGAATGTCAACGCTTCAACTTTGGATTCATCGTTTTAAAAAAGGCAACAGGGAGCTGACATGAAACAAGCCGGATCTATAAGATTCATAGTGACTTATGGTGTACTGCCTTTGAAGGAAGAAGCTGTTCATTAATGAGCACAATTTTGGAAGGGGACATCATTTCTTCAAAAGGTTCCAGTCCACTCAAAGATCACTTCACAATACTACTTTGTGCAGTTTTGGTTCCTTCATGTAGGATCAATGTTTCGTAATCAATTGTCCAAAGTTATAATGTGTTGGTTTCAATTTTAAACGTACCAACAGGACTACGAGTCTGCAGTGGCTCTGTGACACACTAACAATGTTTAGCGTTTAACATTTACTAAACAGTTTAGCCTGTTAGTGTGCTAACATTTGCTATTTCTCTATATCTGTGAACACAAAGTGCTCATGAGGCTGAAGGGAATGACATTAGTTCTGAGCAAACTGATGGAGTGGAAAAGTGTAATGATCACTAAAGTTATTTTAATTTATTCTCTAGGGACCTCAAACATCTGTGGCAGATTTCACAACAATCTACACAATAGTTGTCGATTTCACTCAGAACCACAAATGTCAACTTGTTGGTGACTCCAGAGGAAAAGTCAGGGGATCACTAAGGTCACTAAGGTTCATCCTCTGGGAACCAGGAAACTCTGAACAGAATGTCATGGCAATCCATTCAACAGCTTGTTGAGATATTGTAAGTCTGGACCGATGAATCGACGTCATCAATAAAACAAGTCGCTAACGTGGCTAAAAAGTAGCTGCTCAGAGGCAGTGAATAGCTTTGACTTGGCATTTCCAGAGTGGCCTGCAACTTTTCCAAAGAACTGTATGAAGTGAAGGTCATAGACATTTCTGCTCTCTCAACCTCTTTCAGTGTGTGGACTGTACTGCTGAACATGCTGCCTTTGTTCTCAGTGATCAAAGCTGAACTTCCTCAAGCCGCTCACAGTCGTCAGTCACACTGGACAGGATTTTCAAAGCTGCCCTCTCCTCTTTCCTTCGCCCACAGCTCCCTGAACAAACACGGCTCTTCAAAACACGTCTACAAGGAAGTCCCCCTGTTTGCTTTCCAGGATAAGAGCAATTTGCATTAATAGCATATTCCCAAACGGTGATGTTTTAGCATAATAGTGTGATCATTCGAAAACCAAGATGGGGACACAGCTCCTGCTGGTATAGCATCTAAGCTGAATCTAGCAGCAGAGCTCGGGGACAGCGTGTTCCAGTGCAGCCCAGCTGCGGAGCAGACCGGCTTTGATTAGTGACAATGTGAAGTTAATCAGGATGAGAGCGGAGATGACGGCAGAGAAAATGCTTCCTAACCAGACAGGGAAGCACCGGACGAGCTCAGCCTGTGAGAAACACACACAGACAGCCACACACCGAGGACCCAACATACTCGATGGTCATTGCATACATTCCTTATTACTACCTGGCCTAGTTTAGCGGCGCACACTCCCATCCCTCCCACACATGGCACAAATATCACAACAATGCTGGTGCATTGCTCGTGCACGTGCCATATGCTTCTCTGAAGCCCTTTCCCCATCCCCTCAAAACAAATGATTAAACTTTCAGTAGGACGGACTATTTTGTGCCTGCGCACTCACTAAAAGGCGCATACACACACACACACACACACACACACACACACACACACACACACACACGTGGATGTGAGTGATATAACAGCGTGCTGCGAGCAGGTTGACAGCACACGGGAATACCTCCTGTGAACATTCCTTAGCCCCATCTCCACTCATTAAATATGAAAGAGAGTGTTTCATGTTCTCACCTTTACTGGGCACCACACACACACATTACGTTACTTACTTAACATGAGCACACACTTACCCTCCCCATCATTTTGCATATGCACACACACACACACACACACACAAATGTGGGAGATCAAAGGGTTGTCGTGCATTTCAGCAGTCTTCCTGTGAAAAGCTTTTTCCATTAAAATGTCCACAAGAAGAGCAGCAGGAAGCCAGAGATGTCTCCGCTTTCAGGAGAAGGGAAGACAGACTCGACAAACGAAGCTCCTCTAAACACCCCAAAAAACATTACACCGTCTTACGTTCCATTAGTTTGGCTCGCTCATTCCAGTTACGAGGGTGTTGTACTCATCGTGTGAAATGCTGAAATCTGGGAACGCAGCTATTAAGAAACACAAGTGATCAGACAGATTGTAAACAAGACAACCAGTTGATCTGAACCGGTAGGTGGGGTCGGTGTCACTCTGCCAGGGGAGTCGGTCAAATCTCCACTCTTAGAATTTGCGAACATTGTTTAATAATAAATGTCTAATATCTTTCTAATACGTGCATCATGTTGTTCTTTCACATAACTCAGACGATAGAAGTAGAAACAAATAGGCTCAAATCATTCAAAGGGACAAACATGTAATCTTTTAAAGGGGTCATTGGCTGAAAAAAAGTTGAGAAACTTTGATCGAAATCTGCGTTGCTTATCTCAATACACTCTCAGGGTTCTGCTGCTGCAGCTTTACTTGGTCTGGTGTGTAGTAGCTAATGTTAGCAGACATTACTGAGCCTGATCACGAGCTTTATGTCTCTTCTCCACTGCTACTGTTGCTCTTTAGAATGTAATGCCATAAATGATCCTGTAGTTCTTACTCGTGGCCACAGTGGCCACTATTCCGCAGACTGCCTTTCATGTGGTGTCATTGCAGCAGAGACTCACATGAACACGTACACACCACGACATGCTGTTGCTTCCACTGAGCGGTGTGCCGATAAACGCTGAACTTGTGTGGATTGTCTCTTTGCTTCCCTGTCTCTTGTTTGGCTCCGCTGAGTGTCGTCTATAACCTCTCTGTCAGCAGCCTGCGATGGAGAGCTAACTCGGGACAAGGAGAGTGTGTGTGTGTGTGTCTGCCACAGAAAGCCAGCACTGCTTATCACCGCCATGCTGCATGCGTCCACGGAGGAAATGTCAAGCCGGTGTGAAATTTCCAGGTCGGAAAATGATGGAGCCCCGAAGCGAGCGGAATAATGTTTGCAATCTCAAGTCATGCCACAACATCCATCCTGCAGTCACAGGTGGAGGGCCATTTACTGCCAGCAGGAGGCATCCTGGCATCTTCCCCACATTTTCTCTCCCCCAGCGCCACTCAATGATATCTCTCCTCTTCACCTTATTTCCCCTCCGTCTCCATCGCTACTTCTTCCTTCCTCAAGTATCCTCTCATCCCTCACGTGGTCTCACAGTAAGAGCCGGCCTTTTGGAAGTTTCATGCTCACAAGCTCGTGCATTTTTTATTCAGTTTTTTTTTTTTTTTTGTTTGGGGGCAAACCACACAGCCCGCAGACACTGCAGTGATTTACTCGTGTCCTGTTGCCTTTCGTTCTTTTCATCCATCCGAACCCAATCATTTTCAGTGATTCAAGCCTTTTGAGGTCACCAAAGAAAATATGAAAGTCCTTTTTTTTTTCTACCGGATGCTGAACTGTTCCGGTCACCTTTGAATTCAAGCAGCGAGTTTACTGTGAAAAACACATCACAACCGATTAATTAAAGTGTGGGCGGGTCCATATGAGCAAAACATTCACTGGCTAAGGTGTGATGTTTAGGGAACACTGATTTGAGAACACACATTTGGCAGCACACACCAAAGACATATAAAACATAAATGTGTTAGGACGTTTATACGTTTACAACATATAAACGTCCTAACACATTTATTAGTGGGCTGTTGTTTTCAGCGGTGGTTCACACTCACCTACTGCAGAGCCCTTTCTTTGCAAGCACAATCAAACCTCAATTATCTAAACCTCAAACTGAAGTCTCTGAAATGCCACCACAGACAAAGAACATGTGCCAAAGCTCCAACACTGGCCATAATTATCCCAGTCTCCTTCCTCAAATGTCACTGAAATCACAGATTCAGATTTTATGGTAGAATAACTATGATTTTGATATCTCATAACATGAAATGAACACTCGTTGGCTGCTTCTTCTTTGATCAAACCTTAGTCAAATGTATTCAAATATTTTAAATTTCCAAACCTTTTTGGGCTACAGAGGTCTGGTGAGCTCACTTCTCCAAATAATGCCAGCAGACCCCATGAGCAAAATGAGGTATCACATGCAGGCACTATTTGTTTCTATAGCAGAGACAGAACCTGCTGCCCGCTTGCCCAACAGAACATTAATACACCCAGACCACCTGTGAATTCAATTCCCACCATGTTCAAGGTGATATATAGCGGTGTTTGCAGAAAAATGAAGCCATTTATTTTAAGATTAGCCAGGGTTGCAGGTCCACCTTGAAGATCAGCAGAAATGTTCCTGTTGGAAAACCTCAGCTAACCT